GATAGGCTATCGCCATATACACCACACCCATACCTACTTATACCACTGTACATAGGATTTATTACAGCTATGCTATTTCAAATTCGTGTGCGGGATTAAGCAAGTGGTCATCAGTATTTCGGGATAACCAGGGTTATTTGAGGAAAGTACACATAGGAAGTCTATATCAATGTGTGACTTGTCTTTTAACAGAGAAAGCCACGTGTACAGTGTTTTATTTCATACAAATTTATGTATTATGTACTATTTCACAGGAAAAACTACTATCACTTAATATCAAGCTATAATATCTCGAAAGATTGTTTTAAAATAAAGTGTTTATGTTAAATAGATGTACGTGATGGTAAATGAGAGCAGCTATTTTGAATTGCTGATTTTATTTGTTAATTACCTGGTCATGAGCGAGCTATGTTCTTAATTTAGAAATCGATATAATGCTAATGATTTAATGACAAACACTCTACACCCAACTCTAACGTCTAATTACTATATTCAATATACTAACATGAAAGGTCCGAATCATACCGTTTTGCAGTAGGTGCCTTATTAAAATCCAGTCAGACTTTCGCTTCATATTTTCACCTAAAATCAAAGTGGTTTAGTTAATCTGATTAATAACACATAAAGAACATTATTTATTAATTTGATTATTACCTACTCCATATTAGGAATTATCGTTCGTCATACTGGCGATACAGTGCTGATATCGAGAACGAGAACTAAGTACGCATAGCCTATTGCGACGGCCTTTCAGACAAAATTTACCGATCCTGGCCTTCTCATTGGCTGAAATATCGAAAAGAGTTAGAGCCCTCTAGTTTTCTTTAAAAACAAGACTTATTCCAACGTGATTACATACCTCGCGATAGATGATTAAATAACCAGGCATGATATTAAAGAACCAACAAAGAAATGACCAACATGTCAACCGAATCATAATTCAAACTCAAATTCAATTACACCAAGGTGAATTAAGAGGAAATGAAAGATTTAAATAGAGACTCCTGAAAAAAAAACCCAAAGAAAATATGAACACGACAACTGAGTACGAAATATGAGCAAAAATAAGATTTAAATGACACCTGCCGTTAACCTATGTAAGTAATGTCATACTCTCAACAGATGTTTCATGGAGATTCAGATTTTTTTATATTGTCGAGGAAATAGTTTAGATCAAACAGCTAACTAAAATATTTGTTTATGTGTCATTTTGTTAAGTGACGTATTTTGTTAAAAAAGAAAAATGCTTTAAGTTTCCTCTGTTTTAGACAGTGTTGATTTTATAAAGAAATTGAGTCATATTGATTTGAATTATGACAATCATACAGCTTGATGTGATTCTACGGAAACCAAGATAATCATTATTTGATATGTAACACAGATCTACTGAACGCTTTACTAAAAGAGTGAAGTTGTTGAAATAATACAGAATATTGTTTTACAGTGTGGTGTCTTTAAATGAATTTTGAAGTCTTTCCATTGCAAAGGTCACCTCTCAGGAACAATGTATAAAAATCACTTGTAGATATTACCATTAACATTCGTAATTCAAACTCCAAATCTGTGAAATGTTTGAAAAAATAACGGTTAACGCTGTAGATGTTAAACGATACATAAAACCATGTGCCAGGAAGTTATTTCGTTGATCGATAAGTCCCGGTCACTCCCAAATGCTCCTACCAGGCATACCATTTGTCACTGCATACATCTAACTACATATTGTACGAGAAAATAGAATCTATCACAGTCTTATTTAGGTGGAGACTATAACACTACATACAAGCTACCTCGGTACAAAAAAAAATGTCCATCTTTTATCAACATTCCGTCGATAAACATCGATGTGTTTTAGTCTGTGCCACACGATCACATTTAGACCAATTTTGTTTAAAAGATGATCATGGGACCTCCGTGAAATCTGTCTAACATTGATATATAAAATTATCTTTAGTTTAAGCTGATATACAGTATATCTTGCGGTGACTTGCTAACAGCTTCTGTGGATAAGGTCTAACTACTTTGTACAAACTTCCTGTTTGATATTCATTATTAAAACTAGCACTACGTGTCTTATTTACAGCTGTGCCGTACAATGAAAACTGTCCAATCAGAAAGGACCACGAACTTCAGTAAGTTAAGCCAGTTACTTGCGCCGATTTTTGTATTTCTTTGAAGTCTGTGTATTTCATATAAATGTTTTAAAAATATGAAAGATAGAACAGTTGCTGATTTAATCTTTACGTCTGTTCTGTAAAGAATGATTGGCTGATATCAATCAATTCCTTTTTACATGAATTTGTTTTTGCTATCTTTTGATAAAATACATACATCCGATACTTGTATAGAATGTGTCATTAATTCGTCCAATCACAGTATATACTTTTCACACAGGGTTTTATCTTATATATAATTCTGTTTAGTTTTTAATTGATAGAACCTGTACACAATGATGTAGGATTAAACTTGATACTAATCATGGCAGTATTTCATATTTGATTAAGATATTTTTACCTTTTTTCTTTCTTTTTTTTCTAAGGATTTTCATTTTCACTCGAATAACGTATTTCGCTTTACGTTTCATCAATCAGAGGCGTAGCAATAATGTATGCTTGTATGCTTAAACATACACTCGAATTCCATTGAGATATATTTGTCCTACTTTTTTTAACCTTACTGCGCCCCTAGACCCGCTTAACCGGGGCTTCGCCCTTGGATCTTCTCTTGAAAGCATACACTCTTAAAAATGTTTTGCTACGCCACTGTCAATCTATGTGGAGTGCCGGTGAAAGTGTTGCTCATTATTGTAATGTTTTTTTTTATTGACGGCCATAACACCACTATATATCAGTATTTCTTTCTGATATCTACACACGGTTACAAGGAAAAGCCCATTATAGATTAAACTGGGTGACAAGATCTCTAGGACATACGGGTATATATAGTTAGTACGTCTATGATTGACACGGTATTACAAAAACTACATCATATTTTTGTGAATGAACACAGACAGAACATGTATCGGTGTATGCAGATATATGTGTCACTAATACAGATACAATACAAGTTATTAGTGACACGGTTTTATTGAGTTACCCAACCGTAAAACCTGACCTTAATCTATCAACTTCCTGGTTAATGTGTTGTAAACCTTGCTAAGGCGAGATAACTCTTACAGTACATGTAACCTTACCTATGACAGTTTATCATTGTCAACTAGGTAAAAATATTAAACAAACTGATTATAGTATAGAAGGATGTGTGGTACTATTTCAAAATTCAAATATTTAAGAGTCAGACCAATGCTATGTATATAAATACATTCTTCTATCTCCAAGTCCGTCAGTCCGTCCATCTGTCTGTCTGTTTGTCCGACAATTTTGTTTCGTTACAAGTTCTGATAAAAAATTGCACTGAAATGTTACTCCATGCTTCTCGAAAGAAGTTCTTTCGTGGGAGTGGTTTTCGGATCTGAGATCAAAGGTCAGCGTCACTGTTATCATAAATAGAAAATCGGTCACTGTTAACTATCTTTAAAAATAAAGATAAGACATAAAGAAACATAATTCCTTGAAAACAAATTAGAATTCACACTATCACAGGTCAAGGTCATTAGGTAAAAGGTCAAGGCCAAGTTTAAAATATTTTACTGGTTTTTTTTCGTTTTATTGGGAGTTGGGAGAACAACGAGGAACAATTAATTTAAAGCCCAATTTCATCAATCACGGAAATCGTCACAGTTCCACGGTTAAGGTGAAGAACCAAATATACCTTCAGATGGGAAAAAAACCTAGATTCTTGTTTGATATTCCGGTCCTCTTTATCATCAGTATCCTGGATTATGTTTGGCATTCCGGTCCTCTTTATCATCAGTATTGTGTAGAATGTTTGACGTTCCAGTCCTCTTTATCATCAGTATCGACCTGATGGCCTACTATGAAATTCAAATAAAAGGCACAAACTTAGGCTGTCCTCTCTACCAAGCGTTCTTGTGAACAGAAATATTCTGAGGCAGGCATTGCCATCAAGCGTTCTCTTTAGCGGAAGTAATGTAAGGTAGTCCATGCCATCAAGCGTTCTTAAGAACAGATATCGCCACCAAGCGTTGTGGTGGACAGGAATATTCCTAGGCTGTCATGGCCACCAAGCGTTCGGGTGAATAAAAACATTGTAAGACATTTGTTAAACTAAGCTAATGATTACACGACAAATTGAAACTGAAATTTTCAAGAATTGAAAAAAATGTCCTAGACAATCTAATCAAAGAGAAAACTCATTTCGCTTTAAACTTCTGACCATTTGATCCGTGCTATTAAAGGTTACTACACAAAACCTTCTGACATCTAAGAAAAGCAAAACGGCAAAACTCATACGCAAGACATTCCGACATTGTAGTGAAAAAAATATGTATCATGCTGTTATATATCAAGATGGGTTTTCGCCATATAATAGCGCAATCAAGGTCTATAGTTGACCACATGTTCCTTTACAGAACGTCAGGCATAGAAAATATATCGACTCCGTCAACGTTTGGTAGTAAGATATCAAAGATGGTTTCGCTCCTAACACCCTGGACATTCCAGTATGAATGATATCCGATTATAAGTGATAAAGTACCAGTGTGTTGAAGGCTTATTTCTACTCGTTTTATACAAGTTACAAGCTTTGATAACGTCGATAAGAGAAATGTCACGTCCGCGCTGTTTATGGGAGTAGATACATGTGCTGGATTTCTGCACCATTTTAACTTTCCGACAATGCAAATAAGTCATATTTTGTACAAATACATCTTTGTTATGTTAATTGAACATTGTCAATCAGTCTTCAGGGTTGAAATACTTTATATTGGTTTCAACCTTACAAAACAAAATTCATGTTGATGGATTTTCCCCAATCTTTATTAATGTTGGTACGGTATTATTTTACTTTGATTTAAATGGTTGCTATCCGAATATCGATAATTAAGACCAATGAGGGAGGATACAACAGTTTTTTTTCGGAATTTAGTTGTCAGTATCATAGTATGCGTGTTCTGGATGGATGCCCATGGATCCGTGGTAGATCGGATTCAATCCCCCAAATAGATCGTCAGTTCCGGTGCCATAGCTTCCTTCTTCCGGTGAATGTGGTTCGGGTGTGCTACCATGGTGACCAAAGCTACTACCGATAACTGGAATATCTGGATAAGCTGAAATATAAAGAGGCTGATATTAACTATTCATCATTCATTCAACATTCTTAGGATTAATGTATCCTCGTAACATCTCATATATACAGTAGAATACGAATCAATTACACTGAAAGGTAACGGGAGTGTGACTGTTCAGTACTCAGTAATATAAAAAAAGAGGGAACGGTACACCACTGTAGGTAACGGGAGTGTGACTTTTCAGTACTCAGTAATATAAAAAAAGAGGGAACGGTACACCACTGTAGGTAACGGGAGTGTGACTTTTCAGTACTCAGTAATATAAAAAAGAGGGAACGGTTCATCACTTTAGGTAACGGGAGTGTGACTGTTCAGTACTCAGTAATATAAAATAGATGGAACGGTACACCACTGTAGGTAACGGGAGTGTGACTTTTCAGTACTCAGTAATATAAAATAGAGGGAACGGTACACCACTGAAAGGTAACGGGGGTGTGACTGTTCAGTACTCAGTAATATAAAAAAAAAGAGGGAACGGTACACCACTGTAGGTAACGGGAGTGTGACTTTTCAGTACTCAGTAATATAAAAAAGAGGGAACGGTTCATCACTTTAGGTAACGGGAGTGTGACTGTTCAGCACTCAGTAATATAAAATAGATGGAACGGTACACCACTGGAGGTAACGGGAGTGTGACTGTTCAGTACTCAGTAATATAAACAAATGAGGGAACGGTACACCACTGTAGGTAACGGAAGTGTGACTGTTCAGTACTCAGTAATATAAAAAAAGAGGGAACGGTACACCACTGTAGGTAACGTGAGTGTGACTGTTCAGTACTCAGTAATATAAAAAAAAGAGGGAACGGTACACCACTGTAGGTAACGGGAGTGTGACTTTTCAGTACTCAGTAATATAAAAAAGAGGGAACGGTTCATCACTTTAGGTAACGGGAGTGTGACTGTTCAGTACTCAGTAATATAAAAAAGAGGGAACGGTTCATCACTTTAGGTAACGGGAGTGTGACTGTTCAGTACTCAGTAATATAAAATAGATGGAACGGTACACCACTGGAGGTAACGGGAGTGTGACTGTTCAGTACTCAGTAATATAAAATAGAGGGAACGGTACACCACTGGAGGTAACGGGAGTGTGACTGTTCAGTACTCAGTAATATAAAATAGAGGGAACGGTACTCCACTGGAGGTAACGGGAGTGTGACTGTTCAGTACTCAGTAATATAAAATAGAGGGAACGGTACTCCACTGGAGGTAACGGGAGTGTGACTGTTCAGTACTCAGTAATATAAACTAGAGGGAACGGTACACCACTGGAGGTAACGGGAGTGTGACTGTTCAGTACTCAGTAATATAAAAGAGAGGGAACGGTACACCACTGGAGGTAACGGGAGTGTGACTGTTCAGTACTCAGTAATATAAAATAGAGAGAACGGTACACCAATGGAGGTAACGGGAGTGTGACTGTTCAGTACTGAAGAAATAACAAATAATAAAATAAAATGATGGTACGAAACCTCAGGTTGACATTGTTCTGTACTAAAACAAACTTATAGAGGTACTGACTAGTAACTAAAGAAATGTCGATGTTTAACGACACTGAGATGAAACTTAACAGATACTCTTAACGACTGAAATCGATCTAGAGGTACTTACTGTGGCCGAAGATGGATGAATCTATTCCACAGTCTCCACAGCACGGATAGTTTCCGCAGCAATCAAGACAAGCCGAATCCGGTCCGGAAAATTGCGGAATCAAACCATGCAGTCCAGCGTTCAGATCATCAATGAAACTCTTTGTGGACAGTACCTTCCTCTTAGATACAGCTAACTCTAGTGTAAACAGAATATGTATATAAATATATATAAATGTATATAAATATATGTAAATGTATATAAATATATGTAAATGTATATAAATGTGTATAAATGTATATAGATGTATATAGATATATATAATTTGTATAAAAATATATATAAATGTATATAAATATATATAAATGTATATAAATATATGTAAATGTATATAAATGTATATAGATATATATATAAATGTAAATAAATATATATAAATGGATATCAATGTATATAAATGCATATAAATATATATAAATATATATAAATGTATATAAATATATGTAAATGTATATCAATGTATATAAATGTATATATATGTATGTAAATGTATATAAATATATATAAATGTATATAAATATATGTAAATGTATATAAATATATATGATTTGTATATAAATATATATAAATGTACATAAATGTATGTAAATGTATATAAATGTATATAAATATATATAAATGTATATGGTGGATGTGCATTACAGTAATTAACATCTATAACGATATGGCCAATGTGTTAAACATATATTTTAAAACAACGTATTCATGAACAAAGACAATTCCATTAATTCTAAATATTTCTAAGCTTAGTTTAGTCATTTTATTAAAGTAATCAAACAAAAATTAATCAATACGCGTATTTTTCATCATGGGCTCCCATGAGAGTCTTCCAAACGTACTTCCTATTACATGTATTTGAATGATGTCCAATTTCCCTTGAAAGCTTAACGTTGTAGAAACAGAAAGAAATGTATATACTGCGGTATAGATATTAGTGTGATAAAGTAATGTATTTAATATAAAGTAGATAATAGTATGATATAGAAATGTAGGTGACAGTATGTATATACCAGCTTGTTATCACAGGATATGGAGTAGAACAATAAGATGATAGAATATTTAATGAAAGGAAAATCAACAGTTGCGTCATACACAATTAAATAAACTGTAATGTCAAGGATCAGGTGATTCACGACACAACAAAACATGATTTATGTACAAAGCATAAACAGTCAGGTAGCCCGTAGATACCTTTTGACAAAGTAAACACAATGCAATCATACAATAATGTGATATACAGTACGTCGTATTACACTCATACAATAATGTGATATACAGTACATCGTGTTACACTCATACAATAATGTGATATACAGTACATCGTGTTACACTCATACAATAATGTGATATACAGTACGTCGTATTACACTCATACAATAATGTGATATACAGTACATCGTGTTACACTCATACAATAATGTGATATACAGTACATCGTGTTACACTCATACAATAATGTGATATACAGTACGTCGTATTACACTCATACAATAATGTGATATACAGTACGTCGTATTACACTCATACAATAATGTGATATACAGTACATCGTGTTACACTCATACAATAATGTGATATACACTGTTTATAGTATAATTGATCAGAGCTATGCATATCCTAGACATTAAACTACTCACATATTATATAATACAACCATACAAAGATGTAACGGTAACATGTCATGATAAAACAAACATCTCAACACTTACCTAGAATATGTTGATATCCAAGGTCTGAAATATCACAGATTTAGCTGATATGACCTATCCTAGAACGTGTTGGTGACCAAGGTCTGAAATATCACAGATTTAGCTGATATGACCTACCCTAGAACGTGTTGGTGACCAAGATCTGAAATATCACAGTTTTAGCTGATATGACCTACCCTAGAACGTGTTGGTGACCAAGGTCTGAAATACCACAGATTTAGCTGATATGACCTACCCTAGAACGTGTTGGTGACCAAGGTCTGAAATATCACAGTTTTAGCTGATATAACCTACCATAGAACGTGTTGGTGACCAAGGTCTGAAATACCACAGTTTTAGCTGATATAACCTACCATAGAACGTGTTGGTGACCAAGGTCTGAAATATCACAGATTTAGCTGATATGACCTACCCTAGAACGTGTTGGTGACCAAGGTCTGAAATATCACAGATTTAGCTGATATGACCTACCCTAGAACGTGTTGGTGACCAAGGTCTGAAATACCACAGTTTTAGCTGATATGACCTACCCTTGAACGTGTTGGTGACTAAGGTCTGAAATACCACAGTTGTAGCTGATTTGACTTACCCTAGAACGTGTTGGTGACCAAGGTCTAAAATACCACAGTTTTAGCTGATATGACCTACCCTAGAACGTGTTGGTGACCAAGGTCTGAAATACCACAGTTTTAGCTGATATAACCTACCCTAGAACGTGTTGGTGACCAAGGTCTGAAATATCACAGTTTTAGCTGATATAACCTACCCTAGAACGTGTTGGTGACCAAGGTCTGAAATACCACAGGTTTAGCTGATATGACCTACCCTAGAACGTGTTGGTGACCAAGGTCTGAAATATCACAGTTTTAGCTGATATAGCCTACCATAGAACGTGTTGGTGACTAAGGTCTGAAATATCACAGTTTTAGCTGATATGACCTACCCTAGAATGTGTTGGTGACGACGGTCTGAAATATCACAGATTTAGCTGATATGACCTACTCTAGAACGTGTTGGTGACCAAGGTCTGAAATATCACAGTTTTAGCTGATATAACCTACCATAGAACGTGTTGGTGACTAAGGTCTGAAATATCACAGTTTTAGCTGATATAACCTACCCTAGAACGTGTTGGTGACCAAGGTCTGAAATATCACAGTTTTAGCTGATATGACCTACCCTAGAATGTGTTGGTGACTAAGGTCTGAAATATCACAGTTTTAGCTGATATGACCTACCCTAGAACGTGTTGGTGACCAAGGTCTGAAATACCACAGTTTTAGCTGATTTGACCTACCATCCAAATGGTGATGACCGAATTCTGAAAGACCACAGTCGTTACAACATCCGTGGCTTGCCGGTCCGCAGCACGCGAGACAGTAGTGTCCAGTTGTAAGGTCTCGCCGTAGGTAGGCTGGAGTAAGGTGAAATCATTGTTTATAATAAATTCAATTAAAATGACATTTGATATCACAGCTTCTTTCATCGTTAATCTATAATTCTATGTTTACCATGTATTTTATTTCTGGCTTAGTATAAGTGTTGACTCTGTAGGTAATTTCACTATTATTCTATAGTGTATGAAGAGTGCTTAACTGTTTTATTGTATGATACATAATCGATATACAATGCATGTATTTTGTGTTTTTAAGGCTATACACAGTCAATGTATACAAGTGTGAAACCAAAACGAAGAATTTTTATTTCACTTGATAGAGGAGGCAAGGAGAATAAAGTAAATACAAATATTATTCTATTCCAAAATCAAAAACGGTCCAAAACATATACAAAACGAAGGCTATCTGATTGAGAGCTGCGTTATATTTTTTCTCTGTATATAACCAGGTCGCTATTGATTCCATCCATAGGCTATATTTTGTGTGAGGATACGTCATGTCTTGAATATAATAGATATATGGACAAGATACCGACTTTACAGTCATTTATGTCCGTCTGTCCGATTCTGTTCCATTCCGTCTAATTATGTTGTGTTCTGTTCTATTGTCATATATATCTCTTAAGAGATTTGGTTCATATTTACCCCATAGTATCATAACATGTTCTACATCTGATCAGATTCTGGTTCATATTTACCTCATAGTATCATAACATGATGTTCTACACCTGATCAGATTCTGGTTCATATTTACCCTATAGTATCATAACATCATGTTCTACATCTGATCAGATTCTGGTTCATATTTACCCTATAGTATCATAACAAGTTCTACATCTGATCAGATTCTGGTTCATATTTACCCTATAGTATCATAACAAGTTCTACATCTGATCAGATTCTGGTTCATATTTCCCCTATAGTATCATAACATCATGTTCTACACCTGATCAGATTCTGGTTCATATTTCCCCTATAGTATCATAACATCATGTTCTACACCTGATCAGATTCTGGTTCATATTTCCCCCATAGTATCATTACATGTTCTATACCAGATTCGGCAGCTAACCGTCCGGGCTATCACTACCGTGTTGACATATCTACGTACTTATCACAGAAAAGATCAGTTACCACTTTCAAGCTTTAATGACTGTGTATGAATTATGTAGAGTGTTTTGGTAAATTATATGCATTATTCGTTTACAAATGTATAAAAACATTTAAAGTTAGAAATGTGAATCTCTGTAATTGGTTTGCAAAGGAAACGTCGACAAATTAACGAGTTACCTTGTGTAGTAACAGCAAAGCCGAGGAGAGCAAGTATTAACTTCATCGTGTCAGGAAGGAATGGCAATCGTCCGAGAAGGAGATTGCACAACCATATACATCTATAAAACAGCTGTCATTCACACGATCTCTGACATCTTATCTCCATACTAAGTCACTCAACATTCAATTATTTGGTCAAACAGATTTGGAGCTAGGATTATCATCTTTTTGAACGATTTCTAGTACATAAACAATAAAATGATATACTAGTATATTGTAAAATTAGGACAGGTAGAGCGTCATATAAACCTTAAAACTAGCATTTATAACGTCGCGAATACACGGTATGATTGGATGTAAGGTACAAACATGGATGACGAACGTAATTCTTTGACGAGTATGTTATATTCGTACAGATGTAAGCATGTCTATGCTCTTTTTTGTATACACCAGACCTAATCTCCGGAAGGTTTTATTCTAATGTTCTATGATGTTCATGAACTCTCCACCTGGTAATTTTTGCAAGAAATGTGATTTTGGTGGCGACGATGAAGCGAAAGACAGTTTCCGAGATAACTGGTGTATATTTATTAGGCTAAACGTACTCAGTACGCATAGCCTATTGCGACGGCCTTTCAGACAAAATTTACCGATCCTGGCCTTCTCATTGGCTGAAATATCGAAAAGAGTTAGAGCCCTCTAGCGGCAATTTTCTGCGTAAATAATGCCGCGATTTTTCAAATCGCTATTTTAAAAGCATTCAAAATTAGTTAATTTTTTTAATAACAATACGATTACTATATATTTCAAAAAAGAAGCACAGTGTGGTTGAACTATTGATAAATTTTGAACAATATATATTACGGAATTCTCGACATGACGTAAGCGTACAGAACACTGTACCTGCGAGTTGGCGCCATTATAAGAAGCTAGTCTGGAGGCTTGGTTTGAATTATCAACTAACAGCACTTATAAACAAACAAAACTTACAAACAGAACATCAATTTTGCTTTAATCCTTGTCGTTGTGGCAAGATCGTCTTAATATATAACATCACTTGACCTCATTAGACGTCACAAAATTGGACTGTTCGTCCTACGCGCACCCCGCCGATATGACACTTTTTCAGGATTTTCACACCCACCGCCATGACACTTTTTTTCAAGTTTTTGAAGATAAAAGTTTGCGCTTCGTAGGCAAGGTACATTTGGTGCTCATGATTTATGAATAATATATATTTTAATACTGTACTGATCATGATGTTGACTTTGTTATAACTTACATTTTTTTTGTCTTTTAGTTTTATTTGATGAAGGTTGATTGTGCTGATTTCTCAATGTTTGTTAATGTGTATCAAAGTTCCTTGAAATGAAAATATTCCTTCAAACAAAGCGCGTATAAAAAACCCCAAAATATTCATGTTTATTATTATCAATTAACTAGCACGAAATATTTCCGTAACATATTTATTCATTTAGCGTGTCATGGTGACATTATCTAATGCATTGCAGATCAGAAATAGTAGTAGCTATAGTGAAAATATTGTAAATTTTGTATATATATGTAAGGTCTGGTTTAATCTCATAGAACTATGCCTTTATAGACATAATTACTGGAAGAAAAGTCTAACCATGATACTTCAAGGAAGATAGGCATGTAAATAATTTAATGTAATTACTTACACTTTTATCTATCTGAAAAGCTGTGTATACCTTATCTACTTTCCTCTACTACAAATATGATTATAATAAGTAAGGCCTATTACTTTGCAATACATTCAAAATAAAGAAGTAGGTATAAAGTCCTTTCGATTTGTTTAAATCCTCATATTGATAGGATGGTAATTGCAACATCTTGGGTATTTTAAAGTTTTATTTAGTCAACTTCATCATAGAGCTATTTATCATTTGGCTTGTTGGCGATAAATATATGGTTGTGTGTATTTTGTTATTTATTTTTACCTATTTTGATTTATTCACATTATTTTCATCAAATTTGAAATAAGAATTAAAGAAGATATAAAATCGCTTAAAATTAAGAAAAATAGCCTTTGGTTCTCTTATTTTAGTAATTTTTGCATTCTAAAGTGTAGGAGTATGGGGAAAGTAATATAGCTTAGCGGTTATTTGTGAACATTTTTCAATACGTTTAGCCTCTCAGTACTTTCAGTACTTTGATTTTATATATTAAGGTCAGTAGGTGCAGCGATATGGACATGCGGTGTTTCACAGAAAGGAAGGTCAGCATTATGTCGGGCCGGCATGGCTATTGTGTTATTACAATGTAAGGTATATCTACATGTTGAGTTCAAGGCCAGATAAGAAACGAGATCGTCTAGGTAGGTGTTGAGGACCAAAAGTTAAATCAATATGAAGACAGACAGACAGACAGACAGACAGACACGGTAGAGTTAATACATACACCTTAAATACTAATACATCTGTATATTGATATTTAGGACGAGTTTGTTCAAGTTATGTGTACATTACAGATTACCTTGTCTTGGTATGATTACCTCGAGCAAACTACTGCGGTCTATACATTGTATCTACATATACCTCCATACAGATCAAGTAACATCGAGACAAGTGTATCAGGTTTATTTACTTTAATTCTACATAAAACAATTCTTAAAATTATTGAAAATCATTTAAATAATCTCAGCTGATCGACCGAAAATTCTCGGCTGAGTTGACGAGAAATAAACAATACTGGAAATGCTGGTAAAGTGAAAGGTAAATCTAGGTATGGAAAGCTGTGTCGATACGACAAGTGAATTAGATATGAACTCAACATAAAATAAAAAATATGCATAAACTATTTCTATTATATAAAATATATGATGTTATAATGTAACTTGTTTAATGTAAATCTAGAACTAGTAGATACACTGAAATCGGTATTGATGCGATATCAATTAATCATTTAATCCTTTTATGAAACAAACATTTTCATTGGCTGATGTTTTAAGGTCAACGCATGACATATGAAAATTCGACGTCACGTTGTAAACGTTAATGTCGCGTTGGGAGATATCATCAAAGAAGAAAAATTATTTAAAATGTCAAAAATATGGCAATTTGTGATTAAATTATAAAGATTCGCTGTTTACTTAAAGGACACTCCAGTATGTTTGTTAATTCTTAATAACATAAAAAAAAACTAAAGTGAATAATTAGATATAGTGTTTCTATCGACACATACAACACAATTTTATTCTCTGTAGCTAAAACTAATTCATTGTTTGAATAAAATTATGTTTTGTATTTCTAATCTATAGAGACTGCACGCGATGACTTACTTACCTGTTTTGTCTTTTTAGCTTCCCTTCTCCCTACCTGTGGTTGACATTCGTTGGTGGTCAGTGGATTTTGAGTTGGATTAATGATTTTGTGTTATATTTTGAGTATCTGTCCTCCTTCTTAGTATCGACAATCCCCGTATTGCAAGTTAACTAAAAATAGAAACATTATCATTCTTACATAACAAAATCACGTGTTACTTGTATGTTGAAGAGTTCTACAGATCAACTAATTCCTTATCCAATCATACCAGAACATTTCAAAATTCACGATTAACTATTTTTCGAAGTTGATTATCAAGTTTGTATCGGGCAGTCAAATTTAATCGTAAAACAAAAAAAAAAACTTGTGTTAAAAGCAAATATACCTACATAAGTACCCAGAATACAAGATTTATTGTCTAGTTTACATTTTCGTTCTATAAATCTAATCCCCAAAAGTCGTACTAACGATTTCTCTTGGTCTATCGTTCGAAGAAGACATTGTGGGTTTAATATAGTAATCAACAGCTTGCATTTAGATTTTGTTATCGTAGTTTGCTGTTAGTGGCAGTTCAATAACTAATTAGGACTTTCGTAACATTTTTTTTGTATGGAAGTGTTATTGGCAGTGCATATCAGACTAAGAATTAAAACCAATAACATCAAAAATATGGCAAAAGAGGAAGACCCAACGACTCATTGAACTTCTGAGTGGAGAAATATGTTTTCTCGTATTTTATAGGACTGGATTTAGTAATTTTCTTCGATTAAATAGGAATGAAGGCGTTTAAACCATTGTATGTAAATACTCACTTTCAAGGCACCCACAGGAAAATCAGGCGGTAAGAATTTTCCATTCATAATGGTTATTATCTCTTGTTAAACTGGACGACTAAGGACATTAAGTCATCAGAACTTAAACAAAAAATGCAAATATCCTGAAAGATTACCATGGAACATTTCCTCTCGTTTTAATTTGTAACATTATCTTTCGTCGGTGTATTTAAGGTCCGTTTGATTCACAATACAAATATATTCTCTTATGCTGTTTTATAGAAAGAGATAATGAGTGACATTTGTAGTATACCGAAGTCTTCTGCCGTCACACCATTCGTGGAGCTTTGTCGATCACATCTGATTAAGTCCTTTGTTCTATATCTTATTAACGACGCATTCTGGACGAGATCAGGACTAATGCTTTAGTAGTCATACTAACCCTAATAGTAGTGTAATGAAACTTGGGTTGTTATGTAGTAGGAATGACAGCAGAATCAATATGTCAGAAAGGGAGATAAAGAGCCTGTAAATTGTTACCTTTACCTCCAGCCTTTCTCACTTAATTGGGAGGTGACAATCCTTGCTGTTCAGTTAATAAAGTCGAAATATTTTCTAAAAATCCCTGCTTTTTTAGACGATAAAGTTGGGTTTGTTTTCGACGATATCTGCTGTTTAGTTGAAAAAGTCGGAACATTTTTAGACAATCTCTTATTTTTAGTGAAGTCAACCCTTTTTAGTTATTCACCTCGAAACACTAGACTACCTTGTAAAAAGTACTACATTTCTATATTAAGAATTCACATATGAACTTTCATTTATGAGGCATTTCAATGTAAGTTATACTGTATAAAGATTCGCTTTATCATATCAGGCTATGTCCCAGAGTACATCAAGCACATACGTATCTCCATACTTAAGGTAAATAGCCAGCTTCTTATAGAAGATAAATAATCCTTAATGACGAGTGGTACTCAAATAGTCAGACCGAAGTACAAATATACATGGGGCCACATACGGGGGTATTAATACCGCCTATCGTACACAGCTGTAAATCTATATCTATACTCAGAGTGTTGATAAATGATAGCCCCTGATGAGCTCCCTTCAGCATGAGTATGTCAAGCGAATTTCCGTTTTGAGGTTTATAGTCCAACAAAACATGCTGACAGTGATAACATGTGTTTATGATGTGTTGCTGTGACTGGACCTCCTGCGTGGCTGGAATTTGACCTTTTTTAAAGTCAACAATGAATAACACGTGCATATATGACAGAGATACGTATACTCAGTTAATGTGACAGTTTTATCTGGATTCATCATGATTCGCATGACTATATTTGGAGTTCTTCTGGCCATGCTTATATATAGCTACATGGACGGCAAGGTTCCTGAACCAATACCCGAACAGTTCAAGGTCAAGGTCATGGATTTCTGTATAAAGATGTATGGCCATACGGTGAGTCCTTTCTATCAACATAGCCCTAAACACTTCTCGAATTGACAACACGTACATTTTACTAAACAGCATATTTATATATCTTGTTCTTGAATGCTTGTCTCCGTAGATGTACAAAGACACACAGAACATTTTGTAATAGTGCAACAACATGAGAAAAGACTAACATTTTTCAGTATAGATTGATCCCTTTGTACTCTGCAATATATTGATAGACCTACGGAAATACGCATAATGTCATAGATTTACATTCTCTACTTACAGTTGAACATTTTGGTCAGTCTCGGTTTGACAACGCCATTCTCTGACTTTGATAGAAAACTCTGTGATCGGTTCATTCTCCTAATGACCACAGGATTTCCCTGGGTGCGAGGCTACGATTCTAGACTACAGGTAAAGAGTGCCAGCCTATGATTTCAGGCTATAGGTAAAGTGTGTGAAACTATGATTTCAGGCTATAGGTAAGGGGTGTGAGACTATGATTTCAGGCTATAGGTAAAGTGTGTGAGACTATGATTTCAGTCAGGTTGCAGGTAAAGTGTGTGAGACTATGATTTCAGGCTACAGGTAAGGGGTGTGAGACTATGATTTCAGGCTACAGGTAAGGGGTGTGAGACTATGATTTCAGGCTACAGGTAAGGGGTGTGAGACTATGATTTCAGGCTACAGGTAAGGGGTGTGAGACTATGATTTCAGGCTACAGGTAAGGGGTGTGAGACTATGATTTCAGGCTACAGGTAAGGGGTGTGAGACTATGATTTCAGGCTACAGGTAAGGGGTGTGAGACTATGATTTCAGGCTACAGGTAAGGGGTGTGAGACTATGATTTCAGGCTACAGGTAAGGGGTGTGAGACTATGATTTCAGGCTACAGGTAAGGGGGTGTGACTCTATGAGTTCAGGCTACAGGTAAGGGGTGTGAGACTATGATTTCAGGCTACAGGTAAGGGGTGTGAGACTATGATTTCAGGCTACAGGTAAGGGGTGTGAGACTATGATTTCAGGCTACAGGTAAGGTGTGAGACTATGATTTGTGAGACTATGTCAGGCTACAGGTAAGGGTGTGAGACTATGATTTCAGGCTACAGGTAAGGTGTGTGAGACTATGATTTCAGGCTACAGGTAAGGGGTGTGAGACTATGGTTTCAGGCTACAGGTGTGTGAGACTATGATTTCAGGCTACCGGTAAGGGGTGTGAGACTATGATTTCAGTCAGGTTACAGGTAAAGTGTGTGAGACTATGATTTCAGGCTACATGTAAGGGGTGTGATACTAAGATTTCAGGCTACAGGTAAGGGGTGTGAGACTATGATTTCAGGCTACAGGTAAGGGGTGTGAGACTATGATTTCAGGCTACAGGTAAGGGGTGTGAGACTATGATTTCAGTCAGGTTGCAGGTAAAGTGTGTGAGACTATGATTTCAGGCTACAGGTAAGGGGTGTGAGACTATGATTTCAGGCTACAGGTAAGGGGTGTGAGACTATGATTTCAGGCTACAGGTAAGGGGTGTGAGACTATGATTTCAGGCTACAGGTAAGGGGTGTGAGACTATGATTTCAGGCTACAGGTAAGGGGTGTGAGACTATGATTTCAGGCTACAGGTAAGGGGTGTGAGACTATGATTTCAGGCTACAGGTAAGGGGTGTGAGACTATGATTTCAGGCTACAGGTAAGGGGTGTGAGACTATGATTTCAGGCTACAGGTAAGGGGTGTGAGACTATGATTTCAGGCTACAGGTAAGGGGTGTGAGACTATGATTTCAGTCAGGTTACAGGTAAAGTGTGTGAGACTATGATTTCAGGCTACAGGTAAGGGGTGTGAGACTATGATTTCAGGCTACAGGTAAGGGGTGTGAGACTATGATTTCAGGCTACAGGTAAGGGGTGTGAGACTATGATTTCAGGCTACAGGTAAGGGGTGTGAGACTATGATTTCAGGCTACAGGTAAGGGGTGTGAGACTATGATTTCAGGCTACAGGTAAGGGGTGTGAGACTATGATTTCAGGCTACAGGTAAGGGGTGTGAGACTATGATTTCAGGCTACAGGTAAGGGGTGTGAGACTATGATTTCAGGCTACAGGTAAGGGGGGGTGTGAGACTATGATTTCAGGCTACAGGTAAGGGGTGTGAGACTGTGATTTCAGGCTACAGGTAAGGGGTGTGAGACTATGATTTCAGGCTACAGGTAAGGGGTGTGAGACTATGATTTCAGGCTACAGGTAAGGGGTGTAACACTATGATTTCAGGCTACAGGTAAGGGGTGTGAGACTATGATTTCAGTCAGGTTGCAGGTAAAGTGTGTGAGACTATGATTTCAGGCTACAGGTAAGGGGTGTGAGACTATGATTTCAGGCTACAGGTAAGGGGTGTGAGACTATGATTTCAGGCTACAGGTAAGGGGTGTGAGACTATGATTTCAGGCTACAGGTAAGGTGTGTGAGACTATGATTTCAGGCTACAGGTAAGGGGTGTGAGACTATGATTTCAGGCTACAGGTAAGGGGTGTGAGACTATGATTTCAGGCTACAGGTAAGGGGTGTGAGACTATGATTTCAGGCTACAGGTAAGGGGTGTGAGACTATGATTTCAGGCTACAGGTAAGGGGTGTGAGACTATGATTTCAGGCTACAGGTAAGGGGTGTGAGACTATGATTTCAGGCTACAGGTAAGGGGTGTGAGACTATGATTTCAGGCTACAGGTAAGGGGTGTGAGACTATGATTTCAGGCTACAGGTAAGGGGTGTGAGACTATGATTTCAGGCTACAGGTAAGGGGTGTGAGACTATGATTTCAGGCTACAGGTAAGGGGTGTGAGACTATGATTTCAGGCTACAGGTAAGGGGTGTGAGACTATGATTTCAGGCTACAGGTTAGGGGTGTGAGACTATGTTTTCAGGCTTCTGGTAAGGGGTGTGAGACTTGATTTCAGGCTACAGGTAAGGGGTGTGAGACTATGATTTCAGGCTACAGGTAAGGGGTGTGAGACTATGATTTCAGGCTACAGGTAAGGGGTGTGAGACTGTGATTTCAGGCTACAGGTAAGGGGTGTGAGACTATGATTTCAGGCTACAGGTAAGGGGTGTGAGACTGTGATTTCAGGCTACAGGTAAGGGGTGTGAGACTATGATTTCAGGCTACAGGTAAGGGGTGTGATACTAAGATTTCAGGCTACAGGTAAGGGGTGTGAGACTATGATTTCAGGCTACAGGTAAGGGGTGTGAGACTATGATTTCAGGCTACAGGTAAGGGGTGTGAGACTATGATTTCAGGCTACAGGTAAGGGGTGTGAGACTGTGATTTCAGGCTACAGGTAATGGATGCAAACGGACAAAGATACGTTGAATATATAATGACAAAATAAAAAAAGATAGATAGATGTGTCGCTTCGATATCTCCTCTGAGTAACTTGATTTACACAAGATTAAAGTTAGTCGAAAAGTCCTCTCAGTTTCATTAACTGTTGTGTCAGAGACGTTACAATAATTTTTACTTCATTTAAGTGTATTGTATCATTATCATTAAAGTCTGTATGTTTGGAATTAATGTTTTAAATAAGATTACAGATACCACCATGAAAAGTATTCATGTACGCATGTACCAACCCGTGACGTCACTACAGCATAAACGGAGGCCAGTTCTCGTCTATCTCCATGGCGGTGGGTGGAGCTTGCTCTCTGTTGGTAGGTGTACAGATATCATGTTGACTCCTAAATGCATGCACAGCTCACGGTATCAAAGATTTCTAACGCAAGAAAGTTAAGCAATATGGAAGTAAAGGTATAGGAAGTTAACAGATTGTATCGGCCATTTGGATTCCGAGAAACGTTCTGCAGAATTCAGAAATTTGATTAACATACTGTTATCGAGAAACAAACAACTAATTTGATTTTATAAAAAGCTTTGGAAAAACCACAAACAATAATTTTTTTGTGATGTTTCCTGTCACAGAGACTAATTAATAATTTCTTTTTTTAACTTTTCCTTTACAAACTTAAATGATGGCGCAGACTTTATTGAACAGAAATATCATTATGTAAATCCTGACCTATATGTAACTAAATAGTAATAACATGGTTCCTGACGTCTGGCTTTGTAAATATATCCTCCCTTGTACAGATGTTAAATGCGCATGCCTGGAAAGAAGGTATTGTTATAAAGGAGGGCAGCAAATGAAACCCTTACTCGTCCGCTGTAAGACCGAAAAGTCGTAATAGTGGACGTAAAATCCGTTATAATAAATAAATAAATGAGACCCGTTGGCGTCCGTTCGAATAGGTTGTTGTGGTCCCTTTTATGAACACCAAAATATAACATCATACGTGTGTACATTACTTACCGTGGAATGCTTCACATTGATGTATAAGACAGGACATGTGTACACCGCGTACAATGCATTGATATTGTATGTAACTTATTTGTAGATTCATACGACCCGCTGATGAGAAGAATAGCGAAGGATAGTGGTGTTGTCATCATCTCTGTCAAGTCAGTATAAAAATGATATCTGGTCAACCGTTCTAGATACTACTCGGATGTAGTCGTGTAAAAGCGATCCAAGTGTACACAAACATGCTATGAAAGTATAAGGAAATCTCGCGACAACAGTTTTGTTCTCATAACACATAGATTATATCTATAACACCATCAAACCTTTACATTATATCCGCATCGTCTTCGCTGTTGTTTATTGTCTTAAAAATAGAATATTTAACGGTAACTAGCAAATAAAAAAACCACGTGCTGGGTAAAACTATTAATGTTGAGATCAATGCAATATTTTGTGACTTACAGGAATCCTCATGATGTACATTAATATTTATGTTACTTTACATATCAGTTACAGATTAAGTCCACAGTACCCATTTCCGGTTCCCTTAAATGACTGTTTGGATGTTGTGGAATACGTCATCGAAAATAGTGTTACTTTGAATATTAATCCGCGGAAGATTGCCATCGGTGGAGATAATGCAGGTGGAAACATGGCCGCAGCGATATCACTCCGCTTAAAGAAAAAACTTGCCCTGCAGTTGCTTATTGTTCCAGTGTTACAAATGGCTAACTGGAACACTACATCATTTATTGAAAATTCCATTTACCTCTCTCAAAGCGCCAACAGTAGAAGGCGTATATTTCTTTTGTTAAATTATTTAAATATTGATTTTAAATATGGAGAACACTTTTTAAACAACAATCACACGTCTAAGGAATTTAAGCGATCACATTTTACAGAAATTCTTGATCAAAACCTGTGGCTCCCGAAGCGGTATGTGAGAGACGAGCATCTCAGAGAGAACATAGATTTGCAAACGGAATTTGGAAATGAAGAACTATTTTCTCTGATGGAGAGTCATATCACCGATCCAATGATGTCACCGTTACTGGCAGATGACGACATGTTAGAGGACTTGCCAATGACATACATAGTTACTTCCGGTTACGACATAGTAAGGGATGATGGGATTATGTTCTCTGAAAGATTGAAACAGGTTGGACAGAAAGTGATTCTAAAACATTACGAGGAAGCGTTTCACACATCTCTGTTTTTCCCTCACGGACCCCTTAAGTTGGAGGTTGGAGTCAGGATCGTACAGGATATTGTCAGAACTCTACGAAGTGCTTTACATTGAAGCTGTACACTAACGAGATGCTGCAATGTTTGAGAGGTTCTCTGTTTTTCGCTGATGGAAAAATCTGATCAGGAAAAATATACACACGAGCAAATAGCATTTTACCTTACAAAACTAGAATCAGATATAGTAGAGTTAAATAATGAATTAAACTGAACAACGCGACTGTTTCGTCCTACTAGGATTTGCAGTGTTGGCCTAAATTCGAAACCTAGAAGTCGACTTTCAGCTATGAGATACAAAATGCGAAAACTTGAATAATAAATAAATGGCAGTGTTTTAGGCTGTTATAGACACATCTATGGTGTTATACAGATGTATATACATAAGTTGTATATCTCTTCATCTTTGATTTAGAATTTCCGTCAGTCAGTTTGGCTTTTCCGAAATCAACTCTTAGATTTTCACACTTTCTCTAGCATTAAACTGACAAGTCCAAGAAGGATGAAGAAGATGTAGGCCGCTGTTTGTTTTAGTGTTATGATATAGTGTATGTTACTATAAAGTTGTATTAGAATTACACAAAGCTTTCAAACACTCGAAGTAGTATATATATATATATAAGAATAACTTAAAACAACATGTAGAATTAAGCATTAGCGCTTTCATTCCTGAATCTTCATGATGTTTAATAAATTTCCTAGATGCTAATGCTTAATTCGACGTGTTGTTAAGAGCAATAAATTGACTGAGAACATTGTTTAGCAATAAATTAGCCATTTACATAAAACATTCTATTATGTGTGTTTAGTACACTATTTGAAAGGGATTATTATCACCAGTTTGTTTTGTATCAGGCTTCCACAGCATAATAAATGTTTCGCGTGACTGACTTAACCGGCATTAAAATTTACTCCAGAAAGATTATATCGTAATAATGATTATTATTAAATTGATATATTTGTTATCTTTAAGTAAATAACTATGTAGAAAATTGGAATGAAACATTACTTAATTTTGAAATTTAAATTTCATAATTCAGTCATTGTGTGTATACGATGGACTTTGTGTATGTATTTATTGTAAGTTTGGTCATTGTATGTTAGAGAAACGTGATTTTAATGAAATAAATGAGAAGTTATCATTAATATAATATGTATTGTTTCGTCTGTTTGATCGTTGAAATAACCTCGTAGCTGATTTCGTCTGATGCTTGTTCTGCTACAATACTTTTTTACTCATTCTCCCCTAGGCTGTCACGTTCATCGTTATACCAACTTAGAGAGTAACCAAAGGGAAGTAACTCTGAGTGATCAGAGTGGGCCATGTTTGTCTTGGTTTGATCTATCCCATGGTCATTATCTATGAGACGTATCATGAATGTGTACGTTTCCATTGAATATGACGTCATAAGAAAGTCTAATTATACTTTGTGAAAAATTCGTTTAACGTGTTTTCTCTGATACATATTGTGTAACATATAATAAAATGTTCCTAGATTGTTACAGCAACAGAAATAACATTTTCCAACATTCTATCGCTATCATAGATAATAATATTTGTAATCTAAACTGACCTAGGTCCGAGTAAGTACTGACAACACACTCGACACAGATAACGGACACTGCTTGCCAGCCCAAACATGATTGAGATGGGTAGTTTATCGGTCAAACTGGACACAATGAGGTTTTCATGATAAAACAGATATTTCTTGACATGCAAAGTTTCAATTTTCAACATTTCTTTAACTTATAATACTTTTTGTAGTACATTTTAACGATGAAGTCTCATCGTTATTTTTCTCTATATTTATTCAGTTTGGCTTCAGAATAGTCAGTGTGTCTTCAATATTCAAACTTTTGAACATTTTAACCTGAACAACTGCTTCATATGTTTATTTCACTAAAGACACCGGTCTATATATTGTGTAACGTTAATTAATCTTTAACCTAGATATTTCTTATACGTTTGTGTGTCCACAATCTTATCTTTGTACTCATGACCTGACAAATGGTCAGTTAGTCAGTGGTCAGCTACCCGAGTACGTCGAGCGCCTCCACTATAATTTGTAATGATGATCCGTTTTACCGTAATTGGAGTTCTGTTGTCATGGTGTCTGTACAGCTATATGGACGGTAAAATACCTGAACCGATTCCTGAACAATTCACGGTCAAGGTGATCGACGCCTGTATGAAGACATACGGATACACGGTAACCTGTGATATTATTATCGTAATATTTTGACTATTTCCCGTCTTGGATGTCTGTATCTGTATTTGTACGTCATAGATTCCAGCTGGGCTAAACAATGACGGAGAGAGAGAACGCTCTAGTTGTGGTGCCTCACCTGGGCGAGTTTGAAAGACTCAACCTTAATGTTTGAGACTGTACTGTCCTTCCAGATGGTTCCGGTCAATGGCTGAATTGTTCGGTTTTGCTAATTGGAATAATTATTGATTTAGTTTTGTTATTTACTGATCTTGTGGTTTTGCCTTGATGCTACGTTTCTGTTTATTGTAATCAACTGTTCAGGTGGTATTGCTGGTAACTGCCCTTCTACAATTGTATAGAATATAAGACGTTGGTGTAGTTTTCTTATCTAGGGTGTAAGAATGTTTAGTTCCTGTAAAAGCTCAATCATGCTTCCTTCCTCTCTAGATTTGTAGTCTTTTAGTATGAATCTTGCACCTCGTCTTCGTACGCTTTCTAAGTTTGCTGTCACTTCGGTTGTGAAGAGGTCCCGGATAATTCTTCCATATTCCATAATAGTTCAGACAAGTGCTATATATGCTGTTCTGTATTATTTTGAGCAGTGTTGGAGATGTTTGCGTTTGAATCCCAGAGTGGAGCCGTTTAATGTTGTATTGACAATGAGATATGTATCACCCAGCTGGAGCTTATGTTTATCGTGTTACTGTGTGCATTTTGTCATTGTACGTTGGCGCTCGGACAAATTTTGTCACTATGTTTGGAGCTGGTGTATCATTCATCCTTCGTGTGTCGACGCTGTTTGGGGTATATTTTGTCATGGTGTATCGACGCTGTTTGGGGTATATTTTGTCATGGTGTGTTGGTGTATCATTCATTCTTCCTGTGTCGGCACTGTTTGGGGTATATTTTGTCATGGTGTGTCGACGCTGTTTGGGGTATATTTTGTCATGGTGTGTTGGTGTATTATTCATCCTTCGTGTGTCGACGCTGTTTGGGGTATATTTTGTCATGGTGTGTTGGTGTATCATTCATCCTTCGTGTGCCGACGCTGTTTGGGATATATTTTGTCATGGTGTGTTGGTGTATCATTCATCCTTCTTGTGTCGACGCTGTTTGGGGTATATTTTGTCATGGTGTGTTGGTGTATCATTCATCCTTCGTGTGTCGACGCTGTTTGGGGTATATTTTGTCATGGTGTGTTGGTGTATCATTCATCCTTCGTGTGTTGACGCTGTTTGGGGTATATTTTGTCATGGTGTGTTGGTATATCATTCATCCTTCGCGTGCCGACGCTGTTTGGGATATATTTTGTCATGGTGTGTTGGTGTATCATTCATCCTTCGTGTGTCGACGCTGTTTGGGGTATATTTTGTCATGGTGTGTCGACGCTGTTTGGGGTATATTTTGTCATGGTGTGTTGGTGTATCATTCATCCTTCGTGTGTCGGCGCTGTTTGGGGTATATTTTGTCATGGTGTGTCGACGCTGTTTGGGGTATATTTTGTCATGGTGTGTTGGTGTATCATTCATCCTTCGTGTGTCGGCGCTGTTTGGGGTATATTTTGTCATGGTGTGTTGGTGTATCATTCATCCTTCGTGTGTCGGCGCTGTTTGGGGTATATTTTGTCATGGTGTGTTGGTGTATCATTAATCCTTCGTGTGCCGACGCTGTTTGGGGTATATTTTGTCATGGTGTGTTGGTGTATCATTCATCCTTCGTGTGTCGACGCTGTTTGGGGTATATTTTGTCATGGTGTGTTGGTGTATCATTCATCCTTCGTGTGTCGACGCTGTTTGGGGTATATTTTGTCATGGTGTGTCGACGCTGTTTGGGGTATATTTTGTCATGGTGTGTTGGTGTATCATTCATCCTTCGTGTGTCGACGCTGTTTGGGGTATATTTTGTCATGGTGTGTCGACGCTGTTTGGGGTATATTTTGTCATGGTGTGTTGGTGTATCATTCATCCTTCGTGTGTCGACGCTGTTTGGGGTATATTTTGTCATGGTGTGTTGGTGTATCATTCATCCTTCGTGTGTCGACGCTGTTTGGGGTATATTTTGTCATGGTGTGTCGACGCTGTTTGGGGTATATTTTGTCATGGTGTGTTGGTGTATCATTCATCCTTCGTGTGTCGACGCTGTTTGGGGTATATTTTGTCATGGTGTGTTGGTGTATCATTCATCCTTCGTGTGTTGACGCTGTTTGGGGTATATTTTGTCATGGTGTGTTGGTGTATCATTCATCCTTCGCGTGCCGACGCTGTTTGGGATATATTTTGTCATGGTGTGTTGGTGTATCATTCATCCTTCGTGTGTCGACGCTGTTTGGGGTATATTTTGTCATGGTGTGTCGACGCTGTTTGGGGTATATTTTGTCATGGTGTGTTGGTGTATCATTCATCCTTCGTGTGCCGACGCTGTTTGGGGTATATTTTGTCATGGTGTGTTGGTGTATCATTCATCCTTCGTGTGTCGACGCTATTTGGGGTATATTTTGTCATGGTGTGTTGGTGTATCATTCATCCTTCGTGTGTCGACGCTATTTGGGGTATATTTTGTCATGGTGTGTTGGTGTATCATTCATCCTTCGTGTGTCGACGCTATTTGGGGTATATTTTGTCATGGTGTGTTGGTGTATCATTCATCCTTCGTGTGTCGACGCTATTTGGGGTATATTTTGTCATGGTGTGTTGGTGTATCATTCATCCTTCGTGTGTCGGTGCTGTTTGGGATATATTTTGTCATGGTGTGTTGGTGTATCATTCATCCTTCGTGTGTCGACGCTGTTTGGGGTATATTTTGTCATGGTGTGTTGGTGTATCATTCATCCTTCGTGTGTCGACGCTGTTTGGGGTATATTTTGTCATGGTGTGTTGGTGTATCATTCATCCTTCGTGTGTCGACGCTGTTTGGGGTATATTTTGTCATGGTGTGTTGGTGTATCATTCATCCTTCGTGTGTCGACGCTATTTGGGGTATATTTTGTCATGGTATGTTGGTGTATCATTCATCCTTCGTGTGTCGACGCTGTTTGGGATATATTTTGTCATGGTGTGTTGATACTGGTGTATGAGTTATTTGTTTACTGACGCTGGCTTTATTTCTTTTTTGATGAGGCTATCCTCTCTACGTCAGATGAAGGTTTCATCTTAATATGATGATGAATATTCAAGTTTATCTACCACATGGTCCTTAAGGACAGGTAAATCCCTACACTGTTAGTAAGACATGGGATATCACAATCATAATCTAATAGCTAATTTTAAAAGACATTTGAAATAATCCATATTCTACAGTCAGTAGAACTTATAATTATCATGTACAGCAACAAATATATATTTGTTATTTTGGTTCTTCAAAGTAAGGGATGACGTGTATGCGTCTTTGCTGATATAGCAGAATGTTAATATTACCATGATATACGCTAATATAGCACGAGCTCAAATTTGAGAACCTAAGAATTCCAAAAGTATTAAACAAGTTTATTTTTCTAAAAGAATTTGACTTTTGAATATCATTTACCTGATTCTGTAGAGTATTCCTATCCTGTGCAACACATGTAAAAATGTTTTGGCTAAAACGAGGGTCTGTGCTTTGGCCGAACAACATTGTTGGTTATAGACAATCTAGTGCACCTTCTGAGTTCATCGTTATCACGCCTTTAGTGGCTCAAGCAATTTAGCAATAACACGTGAATACATTTATAAATCATTTTCTTTTATATCTAAAATATTTCTAAATTGGAAGTCATTTAAAACTGAAATTATATCTGAAGTTTATCAATTGGCACATCCTAAATGACTCGTGCTACCGATTTCTAAGCTTTACACAATGTATCCATGTGATTTGCACTGCAACCAGACCATAAGATACAGCGGTAAACGAGGAAAACCACAGGCGTTATGATACCTGATTCTACTCTGTATGGGTAGATGAAATTTTCTACAACTTAACAAACTTAACGTTTCTGATCTTTGCCACTGCTTTGTTAACAAGCCTTTTTTCCATGATAAACAACAATTCAAATGTGCGACTTTAAGTTTTTTTCCTTTTCCACCTAGTCTAATTCAGTGTCACAAAAAACATGTCTATAGAATCGTAAGTAATAAAAATGGTTAACATCAGGGCAAAATATAAACAAGAGAAATATGTATATGGAGACTACTGAATATATACAAGGAGTGTACGACCCGGTGTTTCGGAAGGGTAAGTGTCTTCAGTGTTACCGACGACATCTTCATGTAAATCTTGGTCAGGCCAAGTAAGTATTATCACGTTCCCTAATGAGAACAGGGTATACAACAATGGAAGCTTCAGGTCAAGTTTAGAATTAGACCCAGAATTTTTCTGTTTTGAGACAACAATTATGTATTTCGTATTCTGAACATTCACAATAATTCTGTTTTCATTGCATCACATGGTAACCTTTTCTAGACCTGATTGTAAAACATCTTGCATGCGTTCTACAGGTTTACTTACATAGTGAAAGCCGAAGTCACCATACATTGCGGTATTAGTATCAATAAGTATTAAACACCTGAAATTGGAGCTTTTGGTTACACCATGTCTAATGGTGTTTTTTTTTTTTTTTTTTTTTTTTTAAAAAAAACCCTTTCTAACTGAAAAATAAGATTAAACCAAGATAGAGAATTTTCATTGCAGCCGTAAAACGTAAACATTTCTATTAAAACATAATTGGTTTACTAGTGAGTAACGTATAGTGAAGACAAAGTCTTTCTTAAAATCGACAAAAGATACTCGTGTAAAAAGCATATAATCTATATATCTGGCCCAAGTGTTAACTAAGCTTAATACGGTTTTCACATGAATGCTCTAAAACCAGACAGTTATGAGACATGTGGTCTTTTCAGAACTTTTAAACATGAGTGTGTTCATGCCTTTCAAGTATTTTGGATTAAAAAGGTATGATAGAAATTGGCCTATACTAATTAAGGTCTGTAGAACCACCTCTTTGATAGAAGGGTTTACTTTGGCCTTTTCCAGTGATCAGGAATTTACATGTACCTATATATTGAGATTTAGGATATATACCAGTGAAGGTTGGTGACACTTTCGCCTCATTACATTGTATATTGTGAATGTAATATTTATACAGAGTACACAACCCAACCCTAATATATCATCTATAGAGTTTTCTGAACAGATTGGGACGTTGATAAGTCTTGGTGTAACCGACCCACTGTCAGATCTGGACAGAATGATGGCTGACCGATTTATCCTGCTGATGACGACTGGGTTTCCTTGGGAACTGGGCGCCGACCCTGAATTACAGGTAAGTATCCTTATCAGCAATTTTCACTCATTGATTATCTATCTGACATGGCAAGTTGACATTTATAAACAGCATAATGTCAGACATATAATATTAGAAATCTTAGAGGTTTTAAGAAGTAAATGATCAACATAACACCTTCAGTAAACCATAAGTTTGCTTCCATAACCTCTGCAGTCCTAACCCAGGTTCTCCCTAACACATTTAATTAATTAATATTAGCAAACCTTTTTCCGGTTTTGTCACCATTCTTTCATCTATTATTTCAAGTTTCGTATGCATTTTTACGCCACACAGTAATATACTTCAAATAGTAAAACAGAGATATTGGTGAAAGTTTATCAGAAAATGATAAAAATATATTTACATAGTATATTATTTACACAATATCATAATTTCGAACGATACTTATATTTTTATCTCGAAGAAAATTTGACGAGACTCTATTTCAAATACGCATAGAAGCCATAGCTTTAGTGATATATACTTTAAATTAGATTTTAATTACTAGATTTCATACAAATTTAAATGTGTAACCCTTTTACGACTAACGTATGGGAATTAGAAATCAGAGACTTGACATAATTACCTCCCTTAGTTTTGATATTTATAACTGCAACTTAGTGATATCTGAAATTGAAGTCAATTTTAAAGTTTTAATTTTCATCTTGTTATAAAGAAAGGCAGTAAGTAAAATACCCATATGCAGAACAATGAAAAAGTAGATATAAGGGAGGTAACTCCAACAGAATTGTACTTGTTCAGTGTCAATAAATGCTCTTTTGATGATTTGTCTTTCTACAAATAAGACAATATCGCTCTTTCTTCCGTAGATAACTGACACCAGGATGAGTGACGTTCAGGTGAGGATGTATGAACCGGTGACGTCATTGGGCGTAGATAAGAGAGCAGTACTCGTTTACTTCCACGGAGGAGGATGGAGTACGCTTTCTGTTGGTATGTGAAGGCTGAGGAGAAAATTCATATTTTGTAAAATGTATTGTAATTGTCTTCATTTTGTCAATCAAACATTTCATTCTCCATGTTAATTTATCATGTAAATGCTTCCTAATGTTGATTAAGTATGTAATGCTGCTCACGTACAAAAATTGATCTCAGTATCAAATAAGACTCTTTGGTCTGTTCTACAGGTACGTGGCAGTAAAGCTCACTACCTCTTGATATGTGAATGGAGAATAAAAAGCTGAAAAAGTTTACTATTTCTAGAGGTTAAAGCTTACTCTGTTTGTATATAAGGGTGGAGTATGTAGTCTTACACGTGGTGACAAAGCTTAGTTTTTGTTGATGTTTGGAGGTTAAGTTTATTTTTCGGAAAGTTGCTATTTATCAGTATATGAATCGTTTATGTTGGTAAGTGAAGATCAAGATATCGTTAATTGGTACCTGATTTGGCATGGCTCCTTTATATACTTTTTTTCAAATTTGATAATGGTTGGTTGACATTTGATAACGAATGGAAACTTTCCAGTGATTATATTAGCTTAGCGCTGACTTTAATTTTCAGACTCATATGATCCGATGATGAGGAAAATAGCAAAGGACAGTGGAATTGTAGTTATCTCTGTCAAGTAAGTCAGCCATTACATATTATATCTGATACTGTATAAGTTATCTTATGATTAACGTTCACTGTACATATAATTATGTGACAGCGGGACATGAAAGAAAACTTCACTCACGGAGATCTTAATTACTTGGTTTGTGCATTATATTGTGTTGCGAAAAAAACTCTACCCAATCGCGAAGACGAAACGCCAAGCCGGGTACCAAACACCACCCACACCCTCAGAACGGTCCCAGGACAGAGACAATCGCCCTATATATCAGTCCCTACACATATATAGGGGTACAAGGGGAATGTTACCTGTATATCTTGATACATAAACAGAAACCTACTTTTAAAATTACAAGATCTGGAGTTTATTGATGTGATATGCAGAAATAACATTATATGTCTAAAAGAATGCTGGACATCTGAAGAAATGATTTATCATTGTCTGATTACATACGTCATAATATACTCCGATCCCGAGGGAGAGAATAACAGAATCTTTACAAGATATATGTTTATATGTGTATGTATTTCGGACCGCATTTCTGCTTTAGTTTACGTATTCGGAAGAACATTTCGTTAAGCTCATCTATTTTTTTCTTTGTAGTTACCGACTAAGTCCACAATATCCATACCCTGTACCATTACAAGACTGTTCCGATGTTGTGGAGTACGTCATAGAAAACTGTGCTGACTTAAATATACACCCACAGAGAATAGCGATTGGAGGAGACAGTGCTGGAGGCAACATCGCCGCGGCATTATCGTACAAGTTCAAACATAAGTTAGCATTACAACTTCTCCTCGTTCCAGTTTTACAGCTGGCCGACTGGAACACAACGTCATTTATAGAAAATGCTCCCTACCTGGCAAAGAGTATCAACACACCTGACTCTATATATTTTGTTCTTAATTACCTAAACCTTGATTATAGATATGGCCCAGACTTCCTGAAGAATAATCACACTTCTCCTGCTTTCAAGACGTCCCATTATATGAAATTTATTGATAAAAATAGATGGCTACCAAAACATTTCATCAGAGACGAAAATCTAAAAACTAACAAAGAATCACAAACAGATTTTGGAAATGAAGAATTATTTTCAATGATCGAGAGCCGAATCACTGATCCGATGGTATCGCCATTGTTTGCGAGTGATGATATGTTACCAGGGTTACCCCTCACCTATATTGCCACCAGTGGATACGATTTTATCAGAGATGACGGCATCATGTACTCAGAAAGACTCAAACATGTCGGCCAGAAAGTTATACTTCAGCATTATCACGAAGCCTTCCATAACTCACTGTTCTTCTCACATGGTCCTCTGAAGCTTGAGGTCGGGGCTCGAATCATTAGGGATATCGTCAACATCCTCAGAAAGACATTATTATGACACCGTGATTCACGTGCTGCGTGGATTCGAACGTGGTGTTTATGTGGCATGTAGTGGGATACTTTCCTGGTATGTTTACCTGAAAATGTGTGTTGGTTGTTACATATATAGATAATCAAATTTTATGTATTTTTTATAACATAAAGTAAAAATGTTTTGATATGACATAGCCTTGTGATTAAATCCATTTATATTAAAACTTACGAGTCTAAAGAAATAATAAAAACAGACGAAACATGGTTTTCTTTCCAACAATAACATTTATTTTAGTATTCTAACACCTTGTAACATCACTAAGTTTGTACGAAATGCTGCCAATCATTCGCAATTTGTTTTCGTTCGATATAAATATATAAATATAATTAACGATAACAACAGGGTTCGTTAGGAGACGATGGTCCTCACTTGATTGCTACTTAAAGTTTGCATTGATATGAACATATTAATTTGATGTTTGCGTATATCAAGAGAGATAACTTCTCCAGCAGTATATAAATAAGGGGAGATAACCTCTCTAGCACTACGCAATTGCAGACATTATTACTCTGTTGTCACTACTGCAGCCGATGGAATCACTTCTGTTCAATCTAAAATATAATCAACACTTAGATACATGTAATTAAGCTCGACCCCAAGCATGCGCACACCTCAATCATACACACGATAAAGTCCACACCATTCAGAGAAGATATATATATGTTATTACTACTCGTTCCATTGTCACGCACCACGTGACCCAGACAGTTGTAATCTCGGCAACTGTCATCATCATGATTTTTAATGGCTTTCGTATCATCAACCACAAAACAACCGAAATCTCAAAATAATTATTTACAAATAATTATCTTTCATTATGTAACTTTGGCAATTTCAAAACGTCTATTTGATATTAAACTCCACGAGCGGGGAAAATCTTGCCCTTTCCTTTGTAAGTTTGGCATAAAGTTTGGCTTTGCATTGTCCCTTCCCTGTATACACGTTTCCTTCCCATATGCTATCGGCAATCTCCTTGAAGTGGAACCATGCATCACCAACCAGCATAGCAACGTCCATTGCCAGTGGCGCTCGAACTCTGAATGTCACTCTCTTGTCGGGGTCAATGTCTCCGACAACAGGTTCGAGCATGTTTCCAAGGAACCAACGATGACATGCTCTAGGAAGAGGGCGCTTATCCTTTGCTGGATGTTTACAGTCTAAGAGGTAGCGAAATAAACATTCAATATGGCCAGTATTCTCTTCTGGTGATGTTACAGTTCCTCCGAAAACGTTGAAGACAAATTTGCCCATGATTGGACAACGAACTTGATATGATATAGATTTCTCGTCCCGGTATCGGACAAAGACGTATCGTTGAAAGTCTGTTATATCGCTCTGAAACGGGCCGTGGTATTGAAGAGTGTGTGTCAACTTTACTTCCTTCTGTATTTGGAATTGAAATATGACGTCATCATAACTGAAGACAACGAGTGGGTCTATGTGTGTCTGTGGCACAATTCCGTATTGACTCATACTGGGTGTAGGGCCGAAAAACGGAACTTTCGGAAACGGACTTCTGATGTTTTCTCGTTTTTCCCGACACTTCACTCTAAACGCACACGCACTTTGTAAGGACTCTGAATGCCAATCTTCTTTTGCGAAAATGGTCAGAAAATACTTTCCAGTTTTCGGCGGCGCGACCGTGAAAATAGCTTTGTGGCCTATGATTCTGAGCATTACACGCCCTTCCAACTTTTGAGGATCCATGTCTGAATCTTTGGCGTCTAGTGTATAACCAAACCCAAGAAGGTTCGGAATTTTTAGTTGCAGTACAATTATACCATTGCTTGTATATTGTGTTCCATCATAATGATTAGCGAATTTCAAACCATAATTGAAGAATGGGGATTTCACAACAGGCAAGTTAATGAATTCTGTCAGTGAAATCGGACATTCCAGAAGCTGCCACTTCGGATCATCTGGAAAATGTTGGTGAATATGGTCCTCCGGATCTGTGATGAAATAGAACTCGTCACATCTGTAGTAGAAGGTAGCTAGGCCGGTTACAGCGTCTTTCTCGTCCTTGTCATTACCTTTCACATGCCGTGCTCCCCAGTTGCAGTTGATAAAACACCAGGATCCTTCAATAAATACAGCTGTCCAAGAGTTGCGGAATTTGTCACTGTCCATGCGCATGCCTGGTTTGTATCCTGCACCTTTTGACAAACCCTGAATGACCTCACAATGGAGCCCAGCATAACTGTAAAAAGAAGAATCAGGTTATGAGCTATATAATGTAATGTGATATTGAAGATATGTCTAACCTAATGAATCGGGAAAATCAGTCAAACACGACAGTGCATCAGGCGATACCACAATGCTGATTTCCTTGACACGAAAATGTTTGAAATTGATTATGTTAAATTTTTGCATGGCATTTTTTCAATTTATTTCGTTAAATCCCTATTGGAAACGTGTTTAATCATAATATTGTCACTTAAAAAAAATGGTATTGATGACGATTGAAAAACGCACCTGCAAAGTCTTTTAAAGAGATCATGGTAGCTCTCAGTACCGTATTTGATTCCCCTAAGTAGACCCATCGGAGATTCTGGGTTCACCGTCTCGTCAACTTCCAGTTTATTCAGATCCTTCACTGTAATCCAGCGGAAGATAGCCCTGCAATAGTACACAGCATGTAGTTACTAAAATTCCAAATAAACACTGACCTAAAATGGACACATGATGACACACATGGCAATATTGAAAAAAATATGGTATAAGTTATGAAATCTGTCCCCTAAGCTATTCAGGGTAGGATGTAATAAAGGACGAATGTCTTGGGTTACTACCATTTCATCGATAGTCAGACCAATTTGTTTCTTCACAGGTCAACAAGATCAATATGGTTGGTAGAACAATATAAGTACTACTTTACAATAATAGAGAATTCGGTATCAACCTAGACATGATATTAACCCATAGTAGTAATATCTACCTTAACGAGATGCTAGTGAACGGCAGTAATTAGGAAGGCAACCACGACAGATTATATAAGAATATCAACGTATTGCCTAACTTAAAATAACTATGAATAACAGTTGTTTTCTCCAGTAAAATCATATATTTTTGTGAGGCCCAATTTTCGTATTTTCTTTTTTGTTTTTTTGTCTTTTTGGTCTTTAAAAACTCTAAGATGAATATAGGTTAATGAATCTGTTTGTACTAATTTTAATTGTTTGTGGTCATTTCAATTCCTGGATAAAGTGTACAAAGATATCAACAAAAATATAACCTTCACGAAAATTAGTGAGTTAAAAGTATGTTAAATAATTCCACATTTCCATAATTCTTATGCTATGACGTTTGAATTACCTTATGAGTACATTTATATCTTGGTAGAGATCAATCTGTTAGTTCATAAATGACTAGATATATGTTTGAGTAACAAGAATTATCGCAACAGTACACCATGAAATTGTCTTGTTTACAAAAAACTTCGGACATTGTTCAAAGGTTATCCATGTTATTGTATAACAGTTATATACTTTTCAGTGAAGATTATTGTACAAGTGGGTTTTCGAAAGTATTTGAATTATTATTGAATTATCTCGTATTACGCAACAACAGCTGGGGTCAATATATTTTAATGAACAGTATGCTTGGCATGTACGGAATGATTGTATGGCACCACACAGATCAACACCAATGATGTCTGGAATAACAAATGAGTTCATTGATTCACTATAATACTGTGAAGGTGACATTTTATAGGTTTAACATTCAAGTACTCTGTGCTGTTTTGAAATGTTTTAGGGCAAATTTATTTATATACAACACATGAGAAGCTGAAATGTATGGAGTACGATATATACCTTGATTTTTCTAGGTCTGTTTGGCAGTTGTGAATGAGGTCTTTAACAAGGTCAGTGAATGCAGAGTAGTCTTTCTGAGCCACCTGTGAAAAACAAAACCCATTAACAAAGTTACTGCTAATCCAAAGCTCTAGGTTCAACACAAAATACACTGATTGTAACAAGTCTTCAGTTCTCAGCTTTCTCAATTAATGTTATCTCATAGTAACAAGATATAACAGTTGGAATATACAGTTGAAAGCAAGCATAACAGACTATACAGCTAAACGATATTTTTGTTTCACATAACCACTCGAAAACATAAAAGTTCATCTTACTAGAAGAAAAGTCGCAATCAAGCAATTTTTACTGCTTTCAAACATAATGTTTGATTGATTATACTTTCTATATTTTGACTTCGACTGCGTCGATATGGGAAATGAAATTGACGGATACTTTCTATTAAGCTGATAAAAGTGTATATTAATCTATATATATATTTTAGAAAGTGTTCTCTGGAATAAAATTCCATAAAATATAAAATAAGATTTGTGGTTTATGAGACCTAATACAATTTCGAAAGGCAATTACTCTAATTATTCCAATGATTTTATTTCTATACGACTGTACAAAAGAGATACGACTGAAAAGCGGCACCTTTTAATACAAATTTAGCGTTAGATACAAAAGTATCATATAGCCAATCAATGAATTAAACTGCATCATGCAACTGTTTCATCCTTCTAGGACTCGTCATTACTGATAAGGGCCTAATTTTGTAAGGCTAGGAGACGAATATGGAAAATCCAAAATGGACAAAAAACTCACAATTTAGATGGAAAGATGAACAAATCCCTTATGCAATAAAATTAGTCATTTTCATATGTCTGGTGATATTAGAACAGCGATACATAATTATATTCTGAACCCTGCCAGTATTTCATTGATAACTTGGCATGCAGGTTACAGCAATCCTCGCAGACTAAAAGTCCACTAATACGTGTCATACACATTACCAAGTTTCTTTTGCGGGGGTGTGAAATGTCAACAGCTCTAACGATCATAAAACATATTAGAAAAATCAATTGGCATAATGTTAATATTTACTCAGAACGGATATTAGAATCTTCAAAATAACTTTGTTCCATTGATATTTTAGACTTTAATGACACGCCTCCGACATCGTGATGGAATTAACAGAGAAACTCGAATGAAATCTGTCTGGCTACTATCGATTTCTGAGGAATGACCTCTATGGTTTGTAATATGGCTCTAAATATCTACAGTTATTAGGCGAAGCCTCTCACATACATATACACTCGCTACAGAATCCTTGCGAAGCTTTAAACGTTCCTCTGGTAAATCAAAGATATTTCAAATTTAATAGGTTTATTCTATTAGTTATTTTATTTCAATTTCTTCATGTTTTTAAAATCAATCCAAAGTCATTACTACAGAAAGACAGTAGCCTATTAAATCAGAAAGAATTGTTCAAAACCTCATGGTTGTTTGATTGATGACGAAATCTTTCTTCTGACTGCTTCGGATTTAGATCTCAGATATAGTACCCAGAAACTGTAATGTCTTCGGGACGAAATGCAAATATTTAGGGTATTGGAGAACTTTCAAACTTTCAATTGGGCAGGCTTATTTTTGGATGGATACTCCATCAAAATTGTGCATTCTTGAATGGCGGCCAAACCTTGTTTACTTTATTTAGCAAGTTAATTTGACCGTTATAATTCACAGATCTAAAGAATGCACAATCTTACAAAAAAACACAAAATACCAATTTAGAAATAGACACAGTAGCGTAAATATTGTATTTGTAATTATTGTATATCATCTTCCTGACCAAATGTAAGACAAGCATATTGCTCAATATGTTATCAAGAATAAATAAAGACAATTATTATCATTATTAGCGTCAAAGAATGAATGTAACTAACGAATTTGGTAGTATCGACATTTCTAGTGATTGTATTCAATTTCAAAAAAATTCTAAGCTATATCTCCGATGCTATGGGATATAGTCGTTACTGTGGCAGTATGATACATCAGCCTTTATCTGTGATATTGCCGGGATATTAGTATTCCTACGAAACCTCTATAAATAGTTGTGTTTTAGTCGTGTGAAGTTTGGTGGTTAAATGAACAACAGCTAGTCTGTAAACTTTATACAATAATTAGGGAGAGTACTATTCATTATCTCCTACTGTTTTTAGTTCAGCAAGAAATATTTATTTTGTAATCAATATAACACATGTTTTACCTCGAATACTTGGTTGTCTAGGGCTTCAAACTCTTCGGGACTTTTGAATAATTGTGATCTTCGAAACTCTGGTGGTGCAACTGGTGGTGGTCTTGAGAGGTCAATGGATGCTGTTTGTAATGTGGTAGTATCGGCATCCGGTATGGTCTGAACGGAAAACAGGTATATTATGTACAAGAAGATAGTGTTTGTGAAATGATGAACAAGTAGATAGGGTTTGTGAAATGATGTAAAAATAAATAGGGTATGTGAAATGATATACATGTAGACAGGGTTTGTGAAATGATGTACAAGTGGTATGTAGACAGGTTTTGTGACATAATGTACAAGTGGTTTGTTGTAAGAGTTTGTGAGATGATGTACAAGTAGATTGGGTTTGTGAAATGATGTACAAGTAGACAGGGTTTGTGAAATGATATACAAGTGGTATGTAGACAGGGTTTGTTAAATGATGTACAAGGTGTTTGTAGATAGGGTTTGTGAAATGATGTACAAGTGGTTTATAGATAGGGTTTGTGAAAGGATGTACAAGTAGATAGGGTTTGTGAAATGATGTACAAGTGGTTTGTAGACAGGGTTTGTGAAAGGATGTACAAGTAGATAGGGTTTGTGAAAGGATGTACAAGTAGATAGGGTTTGTGAAATGATATACAAGTAGATAGGGTTTGTGAAATGATATACAAGTAGATAGGATTTGAGAAATGATATACAAGTAGATAGGGTTTGTGAAATGATATACAAGTAGATAGGGTTTGTGAAATGATATACAAGTAGATAGGATTTGAGAAATGATATACAAAATAGATAGGGTTTGTGAAAGGATGTACAAGTAGACAGGGTTTGTGAAATGATATACAAGTAGACAGGGTTTGTGAAATGATATACAAATATATAGGGTTTGTGAAATACAATATACGCTACAAATTTCAAACAGAAAGGGAAGAGTATTTTAATTAACGCTTTGTTGTATAAACTAAATTGGAGTTAACACAGTTTCTAATTCAAATTATTAAAAGTTATAATTTTAGTCAAGCACAGTTTAAATGATCTACATGTACATTTAATAATTACATTTCAGGACTAAACAGTAGACCTAACGTACATTATTCAAATATTGTCACTTAATAGCATAATTCGACTGTAAACAGTTACACATGTTGAGGTTTAAACACTACAGAAGCGTCATGAAATAAAGACAAAACTTACCTCCGTCATCGTTACGAATTTCTCGGCAATCATCAATAACATTTCCGAACTGTGTTTTTCGATCAGGCGAGTCACCTGATTTTTCTCCTCGGTAGTAAGTTTGTTCATCAGAGTGCGCAGGCGTTCTTCCTTCTTCCGCTGGTAGAGTTGTTCGAGTCTCTCGGTTTCTTTCTCCAGACCCGTTTTGATGTCTTTCTTTGATGTTATTTTCTTCTCGAAACCTGCCACTAGTTCCTGTACTGATTTTTCCTTCTCAACCTGCATGATAATAGAATATTTCGATAGGAAATATTCGTGCAGATGTTGACTATACTGCATAAACAGGAATATGTTACTTTGATTTATAGTTTGTTTTCAATGTGCCCATATTGTGCTAAATTTTGTTTTGTAACATATGGTGTATCAACGAAATAGATTTCACGTGAATCGTTACCTATACAATTCTGTATATCATGCACGTACTCATGCTCGAGTAAATAGGCGAACAATTACCATTGATAAAGGGATTTCGTTTTAAAAGAATTTGAAACTTAACATGCTTGTTCAATTGATAACGGGAATTCGTTTTAAATGAATTTTAAACAGCTGCAATACGAATTTAAAGCGTATATCAGCGGTACAAATATTTTTGTTTTGAAAATACTGAAGCGTATTTCTTAAAAATAAGTCAGCATCAAAGAAAAAATATACAAAGGACGACGGGTGTCGTCGATGAAGCAGACGTTTCTTACTCTTCTTATTCTCTTTGTAGTTTGTTCAGGAGTTTCCGTGTTAAATTTTCTTTTGTTCAAATTTGGATTATGATTCTGTTGACATTGTTGTTTTTTTTTCAAATAAGCAATCCTTTCATGTCCCTCTCGGGAGATAAGCACAAGCCCGAGATAAATTTCTCGTTACAAGCGGCATTTTATGTGATTTTGGTGAGATTTTACCAATAACTTAAATGTGATGGTATTTTGCACTCTTTAAAACCTAATTACTCGTACAGTCTCTTGAGTAAGGCTATTTTCGTATGTATATCTAAAAATTGTTCCTAGGAGATGATTGCTTGAATCCACCAATAATGCATTGTGTATTCGGTCGTTTGAAGGTTAAATGATGTGCTGTTTGTAAGAGCCCTTCTTTAGTATAGATTCTAGTCCCAACTCACGATTACCATAACTACCAAATACTGACGGACAGACAAATGTGACATCTGACACATTAAAACAATAAAGCTAAGCTAGTGTATTTTAATACATTTTTTCAAAATAAAACTAATATGGATTATTAACTACCCACTCGTCAATATACCACTTTGAATTCTGTTTTAGCCTGAAGATACGAATGTATAGGTCACCAGACACATTCTATCATTGGTTATCCTTAGCCAAGCCAAAATTACGACTTCAAACCGTTGTAACTGTTGTGTCGCTCATTCCGTGTATTCTTTTATTTTGTATAAAGTATCATAGCTACCTGTACAATCTGAACAATTATAACATCAAAGTTTATACCTTATGTGTCGGACAGGGAATTTCTATGTGAACGATCCATATATAATTGGACATAATTAACATAGAGCGCTTATATTAAGGAGAGAACGACTACCTAAGTATACCAGCGACTTCATTAGAAACTTTGGTGTCGTAGAACAGCATTTTGACAATATAGTACCCTTATGTTGCCACGGAAACGTCATTGTAGTAAAGGTATCAGAGTAGTAGTGTTACAGCGTTATACATTGTACAATGCATTAGAAGTATCAAGACATATTGGCATTTCCATAAAAATCAATCAATCAATCAATTATGCTTTCAATCAACCAATAAACCAACTTTATTTCGTCGTTACATCCAAACACCTATGGCAACAATTAAAAAACATATTTTAGCTTGTACGTTTTAATATACGTTTATTTCTTATATACAACCTGTGTATTACAGTCAAAATCTACTCGTTCAAAGCATATCGACAGGAAAGGACGGTAGATGTTGTGTCATTCCTGCGTGAAGATGTGTTTTTCTTAAACAATTCACAAAGATATATGGAATCACCAGTGTGACGCATGTTTTAGTTTGTATGATTGTAAATGTCCCTTCAACTTTAATACAGGATTTTTTCCGTAAACAACAATTTTAAATCACAAGAAATTGTTTATCTGGCCGGAGAAACTATTACAAAATGGAAGAAATATTCACAAATACAAATGTAAATGGTCTTAAATCAAAACTAAATGTCAACATTTTGAACAAGCCACTATCATGCGTACATACACTTTTATGAAATGTTACAGAATACCTGTATTGTGTAATCATCATTTAACGTATCTTATAATTCATGTGATTTATGCAATGTATTTAACCCCTAAAAAAATCTTGTCATGCAACAAAACTGCAAAATAATGGCCAAACCGTTTTAGATGTTGGTTTTCCTCACCTTGAGTTCAGCCTCCAGCCGCTGGACCATTTTGGTCCTGTCCTCGTGAAATCGCTCATACAGTCTGTCTTCCTCCTCTTTTTGTTGTAGTTCTAGTACAGACTGGGCGTCAAACACTCCTAACGATTCAAAATCCTGCAATATTGATCAAAACATCATAAACCTCATTGTTTTAAAATTACTAGGTAAAATAATTGGGAATCCAGAATGAATAAATAAAATGGAATTCTAAAAAATGACCTGCATCATGAATGAACACCCAACGCCTTCATCTGGAAAACAAACATTAAATAACACAATCGTGTTGAAATTTGATTTTGACATAGCCAATCCTGAAGACCGACATTGCTATTTCCTTACTATTCTCTCTAGATGTGGTGAAATTTACAAAACCAAACGGCGAACAATTTGAAGTTTCAAAAAAAGTGAAAATGCAGTTGTTCACTTTAAGATAGCAATCGCATAGAAAATTCCTCACTTGTAATAAAAAGTTGTCGGCATGACTTTGAAGTGAGGATCGTTGCCCGGAGGCCACTGGGAGGTTGTAACCATACTGTGTACAATGATCTAAGTGGTCTTGTTTTTGGGGAACTGTCGGTGGTACAAAAACAAAACTCCACTTCAAACAAGTGATGACATGTGTGGCTATGATAACACCAAAGGCCCAGCCAGGAATAAAGTCGTTATATATTACCAGATGGGGAGTTCCGAATGCATCGGGAAAACTTATATCAACGAAAACCTGAATAACGTTACGTAATAATTTACCATATCGCAACTAAATCTCAGCAAAGCATGCGAAGTCTGTTTCTGGAATAGAAACTTCAAAATGGAGTATAATTTAGGACGAAAAGGAGTTATTTCCGACAACAATGAGAACGGTTGAGAACATTTGGTATTTAGGTCAAGTCGACCATTTAACATGACAGTAAACGTGTGATTACTAATACTATGTATTGTTTTACTGTTTATCAAGCAGAAATTCACCAAAAGCTTTATGAGAGGGACAGTATTCAGCGTAATGATCTGTATATATAGAGCATAGAAAATACGCATCATAGAATGACAATCAAGTGAAATGATATGTAAGAACATGTTCTTTATTGGAACAACTACTACTGTCCTTTGCGATTTTTTTCAAGGTACCATCTCGAAGAAGACCATGTCATAAAGAACAAAATGAAAGCATGCTGCAGCGAACTCAGTTTCAGGGTGAGCTTAATCTATTAGGACCAGATTCAAAATGATCAAGAACTACTAGGTCAAACTCTGTCAGGTACGCCATTATTGAAAGCCAAATACGTATTGGCATTTTCAAGATGAAATGTTTGCCGGACACGCTCCGTGTTTGGTTCTGAAAAAGTGCCGTTTAAATGTATTCAGATTTGCGTCGTTCATATTGGATCTTTGAGTGCACTGCAATATTTATGAAGCAAATATTGGCTACATGTATAATTTCTCGTCCGTGTCCTTACCCTGTAGTCTTTCTACCGTGATTGGATTTATCACTACCCTGTTAATTTGTATTCAGACATTGTACCACAGGACTAGCATTACTTAATCGCTGATATTAAAGAATTCACAACATAAAATTATCAATCTCAAACGTCCGTTCCTAAAACTATATTTCTTATATCAGAACATTTCCTTGAATTTCCACTAATGATACCGTCGTCATTTCTTTTTAAGTAGGAAACAATGGCAACGAATATTTTTGTTACATGAATATTTTTTCAGTTCAAACTCAAACAAAAACAGGTTATTCATTCATAAATTCCAAGCAACACATTTATTTATATTGGTACTACTTTGTAAAATATCCTTCAGAATGATCTGTTTCTGATAATAAGTCAATTGATTTAGATATTTAAACCTGAATAATGCAATGTGATGCAATGATAAAACATGCAAAAACTATGGAACATAATTAATGATACAAACGGAATACCCTTTAGAATAATTTCCTATTTCGGATAAAAAGGGCAGAGGGCAAAACTAGTGATGAAGAGGAACCAATTCAGAAGGCGAATAGGTTTGAAGAAAATACTCAGTCAATGTTGTGTACACGGTCATATATGCAACTATAGATTTTGCTAACAACAAATATATTTTATTAGTAATGGTGTCGTATACTTGTCACGGTATGTTTTATTGAGGAATGTTAACGATTGTCAGAACAGAGATACTTGATGACAGAAGTCATTAACTGTCATGTGTTAAAGTCTGTATGTTACATGCTGGTATTTTCAAACCAATATTTTCACGAGGTATGAAAGCTTTCAGAAACAGACATATATGGAGGTAATAAACATGCACATTTATACAACTCTGCTTCTAATTGACTTTCTAAATCATATCACTACATGCCGTGAAATGAAGTTTCTTCATTAAAGTATTGTAATTGGTCTTTAGCGTTACATACTTGTGTAGGTATTCAGGGTTAGCAAGATAGATATTCAATTCTTAAACATCCCGTTTGTTCCTTGTATCAATCGTCTCATATACAGCTGTTACAACAGAAAGGCTTGTCGATATATATCTATAGCAATTACTACATAACGACTTCATCCTAAAGGAGACTTTTATGTCTGCTGTAGCGCAGTTTATATCATCTAATAGACACTGCGTTATGTCAACAGCAATGGAGGCTGCATCACCGCGACATCAGACCTTTTTAGAGGAGTTTTTATTGATGAATTCGGTGAATATTTGTAGGGTGTAATTTACAATGAAGCATGCAGTTTATTTCCCTATTCTGTGGAAGTAAAGTGTTAACTTTGTAGATAATAAAACAATAAAGGGAATTAATTCTAAGACATCACATAAAAATATAGAAGAAATCTCAGAGACTGAATATTATCTTCACAACCTTTTGTAAACAAAAGAACAGCAAGGTTCTATTGACATATTGGTCTGATGACCATAAAAAATGACAAAGGGAGGAGGATGGCCTGGGAGACATAGGGTTCTATTGAATATGAACAAGCTTGCTTGAATCTTCATGCCAGATTCTTCCAGGTTGCGTATGTAGTTTTTAGTAAGATGACTCACTTGTCAACGAAACTTAATGAAACTTAAAACTACCTTATGAACTTTTTATTTTTATCTTTATTTTATCACTGACCTTGTATGTTCCAAGTGACGTCTTTTTCTTCTCCATCTTCCCGAACATATCTCGGCGATGGTTAAACTCGATGGCCTTGGAGTCATATTGCCAACCGGGGTTGTATAGGCTCCCTCGGATCTGTAAAATATAGTGTTAACAAAACATTAACATCACAGCTAAAACACTATGTAAATAATACCGTACAGATACTATAACACTATCCATGCTAAACTTTAACTAAACTGACACTAACTTTACATACGTATAGTGTTTACTAAATAAAACTCATAATCCAGGAATTTATTGCTTGTATTGATTTTCATATCGACCATTTGAGAAGCTCATGCCCTGTTTAGAATCTACGTAGATTTAGTCATCAAAATCTTAATACAAAAAAAAAATAAAAACAAAACAAAGGAAAGAGCATTTATCGACTGGGCGAGTCAGCACCCACCACACACTCCATCCCGGGGGACAGGCCGACATCAGGGTCGGTGCTAATATGGCCATTCTTGACTGCTCTCATATCCGTCGCCCAAAAACACTCCTCCCCACCACCTTCCTCCTCCCAACAGGGAAATACTCCTTCATAGACATAGTCGTCCATCTTGTACCATCAGCAGACTGTTTCTCACAGGCAGATGACCAGATTACTTTATTCTAGTTTTTGATGTTTGATGATACAATAATGTCGTAGTCGATTCCTCCAGTATAGTTGAAATCCGACACAAATTCAAAAGTACATGTCCACAACAAATGAAGTTTAAGCAACCTTGACAAGATTGAACAACGTCTAATTAGATAATTAATTAGTCTTCCTGACTAACATTCGGTCGCTATGTATAGTTAATTAACCTTGGTGTTTCGATTGATTTGTCCTTATGAAAGGACCGATACATCATATAGTCAGCTTTTGCACCGACGAAGACTGTCCAGAATACATTAAACGAAGAGTTTCTATTAAGAAACACGTCTTCCAAATCTGCTCTGTTCGACATATGCCCAAACACTGCGGCTGTGATTATTCAACATAAACTCCGATGTGAGGTGATGGCTGTGCAACAGACTTTCAATCTCGAAGCCAAACCTGAACTAAAGGTTTTCGATAAAAACTTTGACGAATGATATTTTTGGTACGTATGGCCAAACTACATCACGAACCATAAGTGTTTGTTGGCTAAACAATCTAATCCCACACCTTCCTCACTCCATAAAACATACTTTGTTGTCCGGTGCAAACTTCTTTAGAATTACATCATAATCGGTGCAGCAACTGCATTTTAAGTAACCCAATCAGCTGAAAATGTGTTCTCTAAGGTTTTTACAGCGACGATAACTTCTCAGAATATCTGTCAACATTGATAACAACACTCTCGTTTTACCTCCCTGTGGTAAAAACTCCACGATTTAAATAAGAATGTTCATACACCAAGAGCAGGTTTCAATTAATATGTAACCTTGAACGTAGCTGGTGATCCCCGAGTAACAAGCCTGCATCTTCTATCGTTACACGTGTGTGAATATATCAAACATTGTGCACGTTATTCACTGTACAACAACATCCTTCCAATATACCTTAATCCTCGAATTCAACTATGATGTCCTTTGTATCATATTAGAGTCACTTCAGGAAACAACCGATTCAACTGTCTGTAAAGTAGCATACATTCTGGTTTTTTCACGTACTTATTTGTTTTGTTGATACATTTTAAGCATTATTTCGTGAAGGTGTTGGTTCGTTTTTAGGTCGGAAATCGAGGTTTTCCATCCTCCCTGGTACTTCCAAAAGCTTTTCAATATCTGATGAGTAACAACAAAAAACTAACGAAACGTAAGTCTGCTTAAAACATATAAGTAAAATACATTAACAGTGCAAACGCATTGGAAACGTGTTTCACGGTAAATGTTTTTACAGTGTGCAGATTAAGCCAGACCATATGCATGGCATGGGGTTCCCAGTATCCTCTTTTTCAGTTCCCGAATACCCCTGGGCCATTATCAAAGGCAATATGTGATGATCTGGAGACCCAGATAGCACTCGACAAGCAAACCGAAAACTATAAACAAACAACAAAAAACTAGGAAACAAAACAGCTGCAGAAAGAGCAAAACCATGCAAAAACCTAACTGCCTGCTGTGATAGGATCAAAGTCTCGTCAATATTTCATAATCCATGTACCGCCAACTGTCTAGACCGGCGACCAAACGCTCGCCCCTTACAGCTTCGTCAACGAGAGTACAAACAAATGCGGGCTACTTCTGTATCATATACTTAAAGCTTGACACTTTACAAATATCAATATATCTACAATATAGACGACAGTTTAAAAGTGTTCACCACGAGTAATAATCCACGTGTATACTTACATAATCTTATATAAGACAGTTAACATTACAATAATAACCTAACGTGTCGTAGCATTAAGTGGACCATGAACATGTTGTTGTCTGTCTGTGATCAAGCGTGTCCCGTATGGAGTGTGCGATGTGGGCGGTAATGGTTCACAAGAATCAATACTTCAAATATTGTATGAATGAGTCTGGCAAATGGTTGTTAAAACATATACAGTCAGCACATTTAGAGAATTTCATTCTTTTGAATTTAAATACATCTCCATTCTATACCTTTATTTAAATCATAAATTATCATTCCAAGAGGTTTTTTCAAATCAGCAGTGGTTTATTCTGTGTATCAACTTTTAAACATTCTGATCGGCCGTGGGTCTATCCTAAACGACTGGTCAGTCACAGGTGTGTATCAAAGTTACAGCTGGTCAGACAATCTACACGTCAGTCTAAGGGACGTATTCAAAAAATTACTAGTCAGACGGTAACATTAAAGGAAAATAAATAAAAACATATTTGCCAAAGCGATTGTCGAAACTACAATTGACCAATCCGAGGCGTTGAATCGATACTGTTTAGTCTAAGGGATTTATTCAAGTAACTAATGGTCAGTCCAGGAAATGTATTTAAGTCATTGCTGGTCAGTTCATGAGACTGTTATCAAAAATTTTATCTATCTCCAATGTCTATTTTGCTGACCCAATTAAGAGAAATTGATTTACAATTTCAGTTACAAAATGCACAATTATGTTTCTTATACGTTATCGTGAAAAACTAAGAGTTATTAGAATGACCACGTGCATGCACGTCCTGCCATATAAATCGCGCATGCATTGGATATACATATGTACATAATCTATTTAGCTCTGGAATACAGTTCCTTGATATTGCATGACTAACTCCGAGAATGTATCGCTTTAATTATTGTATAGATTACCTCCCACTTGTAGAATGGGCCGCTTTAAATATGACAATAAAATCATGTGACAGCTGAACAGGATTAAAATTCAGTGCACCATGCTACGGGAAATGATTGTTAAACACGCTTCCGTTCGGAGGAAATTATTTAAAATTCAAATGTTATTGCAGTTTGTTTTTCGTTGTTTTTGGGTAAAAAGCAAATTCCCACTACGTTTGTTACATATTAATTAGATTCCTTAGTTACCGACATATCACGCCTATGTTATGTCATTCTGTAGGGTATGATTTCAACGTCAAAATCCTACTGTGGGATTGTTTATCTGGTTAAATCACCAATCTTTTGAGCTACACCAATAAAACATCTCTATAGGTGTTTAACACAATGACAGGAAATCAATATACGTCAGTGGCAGGTATTACGTAATAGCTCGTGCAGCTGTTTTCAGTCTTATTCACAGCTATTGTTTCACGTGAGGCTTAATCATTAATGTAATATATTTTTCCCTTTCATATATATTTAAATTGATTTTTTACGTAGAAATGATAATTGGTAGAAGTATGACACAGGGAAGGTTGTATAAAAGACACACGAGTGAATAGCACCTTTTAATACAAAGCTGTTTCGTCCTTCCATGACTCGTCAGTGACACTAAGGGCCTAAATTTTTAAGTTTAGGAAACGAATGAGAAAGATCGTAAGTGATTGAAAGGAAGGGTTGGATTAAAATGTTAAGTCTGTTTACTTAATTTCCATGTGGTTTGTAAATATTTTTTTCATAATTATGTTTACTGTAAGTATATAAGGACAGCACTATATAGTTATCATCGTACAATCAGTTTGTCCATATATCTTAATGTGCTATTTATATCCTCAGTTTGCAAAAGAAAAGTTTTATAGAAGGCGTGATATTTAAGCACCAGCATAAAACTAATTGGTAACATGAAAACCGCTGAATGCAGAGAGTTACTTTCCTGGGTCTTAACTACAATGTTCTACAGCTTTAAACCTGAAGAAAAAAACCACATCTGGGCCCAGCGTGAATAGTTACTAGGCCAGCTTACCAGACATTATTGAAATGTTACGGTGTTATATTTGTGAGTAGCCAACACATTACAGACTAATATCTAGGGGTTAAGTAAATACTCATCCAGTCTTAATAATGAAGTTTTTTTTCACATTCCTTCATTAAACAAATGGCAACAATTTCTGACAACAATGAAAACATTTACCTATTTATGTAACATGTATGTTTTATCAAGGAACAACTAGCATTCTATTGTTTTACCAGTTTTTTTATGACCGAATTTTAAACTAACAATGCTACTACATTATAAGTCAGTATTAATCTTTTTATGATGACATCTCCATCACCACAGCTGATGTAGCTGTCGATCGTTTCTAGTTATATGCAGGTGCCGGTTTTTTTTCAAATTATTTTATCGTTGCCGTGTAAGATATAATTCAAAGCTTCAATCCATGACAAAAAATCTATTTATCAGCTGTTCTCCTCTACATTATCCAAGCAAAAAATTTGCAAGGTCTAGTATCACTTATCACCATAACATTCATAATTTGTGAAAAGTTAATTTAGTTTCATAAGATTATCTTTACAGATGTCAAACCATTACCTAATTCAATGTCAGTGATGTTTTGATTCGTTCGTTGGCCCAGTCCCAGTGTGCAGTCAAGCATGAAGATCATCAATAATGAAAGCGCGTCATCGAAAAAGACAATGGAAAAATTATCTATTCTGTATCGTCTGGGTATTGTTGATTTCGTTTGGTGTGAGAAATTTGAATTTAAAGAAAACAGATACAAACTAGGTAGAGATAACATCCAATCAATAATGTCTGTTACATGTCTGATATAAC